CTCTGCGGGGCTCGCACGTGGTAGCGGCGGTCTGCTCACGACAGTGAGTGGGCTCTTCACGCTATCCACTGCGCCGCGGCTACGCCGCGCCCTATCCAAGCCCAGGGCTTGGTCTGCTGATACCCGCTTCTCGCTCAGCGCATCTCGGGAAAGCCGCCGACGCCGCCGCCCTCGCCGCCGCCGTACCCGCCCGGCAAGGCGCCAGCTCCGCCGCCCTCGCCGCCGCCATACCCGCCCGGCAAAGCGCCCTCGCCGCCGCCCTCGCCGCCACCCTATCCGCCCGGCAAGGCTCCGGCGCCGCCTGCAAACGGCATCCCGGACCGCATCGAGAGCGGCACCGCCGACTCGGACAGCGACGGCACCCCGAACGAGGCCGACACGGACTCGGACAATGACAACGTCCCCGACGCGGTGGAGGGCACAAGCGACACAGACAGCGACGGCATCCCGGACTACCTCGACCCCGACTCGGACGGCGACGGGTCGCCCGACGCGGAGGAGGGCAGCGGCGACTCGGACAGCGACGGCATCCCGGACCGCATCGAGAGCGGCACCGCCGACTCGGACAGCGACGGCACCCCGAACGAGGCCGACACGGACTCAGACAATGACAACGTCCCCGACGCGGTGGAGGGCACAAGCGACACAGACAGCGACGGCATCCCCGACTACCTCGACCCCGACTCGGACGGCGACGGGTCGCCCGACGCGGAGGAGGGCAGCGGCGACTCGGACAGCGACGGCATCCCGGACCGCATCGAGAGCGGCACCGCCGACTCGGACAGCGACGGCACCCCGAACGAGGCCGACACGGACTCGGACAATGACAACGTCCCCGACGCGGTGGAGGGCACAAGCGACACAGACAGCGACGGCATCCCGGACTACCTCGACCCCGACTCGGACGGCGACGGGTCGCCCGACGCGGAGGAGGGCAGCGGCGACTCGGACAGCGACGGCATCCCGGACCGGCTCGAGAGCGGCACCGCCGACTCGGACAGCGACGGCACCCCGAACGAGGCCGACACGGACTCGGACAATGACAACGTCCCCGACGCGGTGGAGGGCACAAGCGACACAGACAGCGACGGCATCCCGGACTACCTCGACCCAAAGAAAACAAAAAACCAAGGGAGGGATGGGAGGACGGCACGCCGCCACCACACAGGGATTTTCCCATCCTTTTAGTGTCTAGTTTGCGGTTTCTGGTTTCTTTCGTGTGCCCAGTGTCATGAGAGGGAGCTTCGTTGTAAAAAATTCTTTCTTTTTTCGGGTCGCACACACACCACAGACACTCTGACTGTTCTTCACCTTCCTACATACATACATATAGACACTCAACACTGAACAACACACTGCCCACGAAACCATGCACGAAACGAATAAAGTGAGATTCCGGAGACCGAGACTGCGTCCACGGTCCAGATTCTCGAGAGTCCAGATTTCGAACAACGAGATCGAAAAAGAAAATAATTTACGCCGACTCACGTCGCACCAGAAAAGAAATTAGTCCCCTCTGTGTGTCCCCGCTTCGGGCTGCGTATCCGGATAGTTACGGCGGGGGGAGGCGCGTCTGCAGCCATGCGACGACGTCGGCGATCTCCTCCATGCTGGCCGAGTGGCCGAGGCTCTCGTACTCCTTCAGCGCGTACTCCTTCACCCCGGCGGCGCGGAGGTGCTCGGCTGAGCGGCGCGCCCACTCGATGCGCACCGTCGGGTCGTCGGAGCCGTGGAAGTGGGCGACCGGCGTGGCGGCGGCGGCGGGCGAGAGCTCAAACTTCTCCTGCGCGGCCAGGTAACCTGACATGCAGAGCACGCCGCCAAGGGCGTGCGGGTACTGCAGCCCCGTGAAGAGCGAGACCGCGCCGCCCTGCGAGAAGCCGCCCACGACTATCCTGTCATGGGCTAGGCCCGCGGCGACCTCCGCTTCGATGAGCGCCGTCACCGTGGCGCGCGACTCCTCGATCCCGGCGCACGGCTGCACTGTGCGGTCGTCGAGGGAGGTGATGTCGTACCAGGACGGCATGGCCATGCCGCCGTTGAGCGTGACCGGGACGACAGGAGCGTTGGGCAGGACAAACTTGACGTGAGGCAGCTGGGAGTGGATGTGCATCGCCGCGTCTGCCCATCCCATGTTGGTGTCGCCCAGTCCGTGGATGGGACCGATGACGGTCGCCGTGTGGGGCGTGCCCTCTGCGGGCGCGATGGTGACGGTCTGTGAGGCGTCGCGCGAGACTCTGGGAGCGCCAGCGCCGGCCATACCGGTCGCAGAGACGCGCGTGCGCACGCTTCCACCGGCGGCGGCGACGGCGGCGGCGGTGGCGATCGCGAAGGGGCGGCGGAGCAGCATGATTGTGCCAGTGCGCGAAGTTCTCAGCGCCGCTGCGAGTACCTGGCACGATCCCTGCTATGACGAGGGTCGGTCGGTGGACCCCGAGGTCGGTGAGCGCGCCAGGATTCGTTCCTGCCCGCGAGTTCTTTACCAGGTTGCAACACTTGTTCCGCACTGTGCTGTGAACAGAGCACCAACCAACAGCTCTCAGGACCCCCCGGTGCTGGGGTGCTGCCAGCAACCAACCAACTCACCGGCGAGCGGAGCGAGAGAGCCAAAGAGCTGGGGCCAAATTGGCGCTGTGAGTGAGCGTCGTTTGAACCGATGTTTCGGCGGGCACTTTTCTCACCTAAGTCCTTGTGGCGGGCCGCCAGGCCCGGAAGCAGATGCCGACGAGGATCAGACACGGCGCGCTCTCTGGGCTCGGAGGTCGGCAAAAAGGTTGCGCAACCGACACCAGGATCGTCGATCGAGGTATTAGGTGCTTCAGCAGATAGCAGTCGGCACCTACATAGTGCGGGACCTGGGGTAGCAACCAACAACCTGGATGGGGACGGGGTGCTGCTCAACCGGCAGCAACCAGCAGCGTTCACAGCCGAGTGCGGAACAAGGGTTGCAACTTGGTAAAGAACTCGCTCGCTGTGAACAGGTCGGATGTCGTTACGGCACGCTGCTGCGCCCCACGCCGCGGTGCGCGGCGGCGATGCTGGCGGCCTCGCTGCTGGCGATGCCAGCCGCGCCACTGGCACGTCGGTCGCCACTGTCACCACGTCTCTCGCCGCGGTGGAGCTCTGCGACGAACGAGGACGTGGCAATGCGCTGCTCTGCTCAAAGCGATGCTGGCTCTGCTGCCGACCCTGAGTGGGAGGCAGTGCTGGCGCAGCTGCTAGCAGAGGAAGCAGAGGAAGAGGAGCTCTGCTGCCGCTTCGAGCGCCGTGGCGACGAACTCCGACGACGGGTGGGACAACTACAGTGAGGAGGAGGAGGAGGATGCTGTGCAGGGTGTGGCTGGGAAGGTGGACGAGTCGCTCGAGCTTCGGGACGGGCGGGCTTGCGCCACTGGTGGAGGATTCAGTATGCCGCAGGCGGCTCCCACCTCGATGGGTTATCACTCCTGCGACTGCATCGAAGAGGGCTTCAACATTCAACAAACAGGAATCGAGGGTGACCGCATGTCTGCATCAGACGTGTCATCCGTCCTGATCGTGACCAACCAAAGCCACCCCTCTTCTAAGATCCGCGCTTGCCCGGATCCTGAACCCTCTGCCGCTCCCAGCCGTGCTCGCCGAGCCTCCGCCACCTCCACCTCCGCCGCCCCATCCCCCTGCGCGCGGGCCTTCTAGGCCCGCGGGTAGTCTCCCCCCATCCCCCCCCCAAAACTGTTCCTGTTACGAAAAAGGGAGCTACCTGCTCCGGCGACACTAGGGACTCGGGCCTGATCCCGCACAAAACATCTCCACACTCTCTCCTCTCCTAATGACACGACTCTCCGACCTTGGGCTAGATTCCCATTTGATTCACCACAAGCGCCAAACTGCTTCGCCGCGCGCTGCTCTTACAGCGTCAAGTTCGGCCCTTAGCTGAGTAGAACTCGAAGTGGGCGTCGAGGGGGCTATAGTAGAGTGTGAGCCCGCGCGCTGCAAAGCTCGAGTGTGGGCGATGGCGCGAGCTGGGCCATGTACTAATTGCGTGTGACTGTTTCTGCCGTCTTTGAATAAGCGGTGCCCGTGCGCGATTGCAATCAAGGCGCCGACGCTCAATTCTTTGTTCCGTTCGCTGCCTCGGCCAACACCCCCGTCAGTCGTGTATGAGGCCTACCGGCAGCTCGTCGCGCTCTACTTTCCGACGGACAGGCGCTCTATGGACCTGCTCCTTACCGATCTGGATGCCCAGCTGTGCGCGCGCCTGCCCACCTACCAGCACGCGCTGGCCAGCGGGAAGCCGTTCGATTCGATCCTCGCTGGCGGAGCTGCGCAAGCTTCACGACACGCTGGGCCCGTCATCGAGGAGGAAATCCTAGGCGCCGATCGTAACTTCGACGGGCGACTCCGATGACTCTGCGCTGGGCAAGCTGGATCGCGCGCCGGCCGGCCTTCCGGACAGCTCGCTCCGAGAAGCTATCCATGGCGCCCCCTTTCAGAACGCGGTCCGCAAGATTAACAGCATCGACCTCTCTACCCCAAATGGCCCGCTGGAGGTCATCAAGGAGGTGTTCATGCGTGTTCACGCCGGGATCGTGTCCCTCACAACCTGCCCAACCATTCCTCCAGCACAGTACTTCAGCTTGCTGCTTGGTATAGTACGTTCGACTTTCGTTAGCTTATAGTATGTAGTATCATCGCCTCCTTCTCGAGGGGGTATCAAGGTATGCTCTAGGCCTCTGTGGGGACCCATCTCGGCTGGGTATCAAGGTCTCATCGGCGGCCGCGCAGCGAAGCGACAATTCACACCTCGGACGTTTAACCTCTTCTCTTCCGGTTCCGTTCGCGCGCCACGCCCAACCAACCAAAACCATATACCGAAATGGTCTCGTCGCAGGTTGCACCTGCAGCTGGAGCAACGCTATCCGGAATCCGCCGAATCATTTCACATTTGCTCTTCTGAAGAAGGCAGTAGCGAGCTGGGACAGTCCCATCGTGGATTACATAGCCGTCAAAGCAGGCGGCATCGATTTCGCACGAACGCAACGTTGCCAGGTGACATAACTCTCCCAGCGATTATGCTCGAGGCGCCCTTCACACCGGACACGACCCCCCTCTTCACACCTCTTCGCGCGCTGCGCGCGCGTCTCTCCAACCAAGACAGACAACGCGCTCGAATGAGCGTCGCGCAGGAGGGAGGCGGGTACGGCGGAAGCGCAAAGAGTTTGAAGATACCGGGGCGCACCATGCGGGAGGGCTGGGTCCTCGGTCGAGGTGTGATTATCGCTTCGCTGCGCGGCCGCCGATGATACCTTGATACCCAGCCGAGATGGGTCCCCACAGAGGCCTAGAGCATACCGTGATACCCCCTCGAGAAGGGTCATGATACTATACCAAGCTGAAGTACCGAATCCAGGCGAAGGACGCGGAAGAAAATTCAGACCTTGCCGTACCCTCCGCCCCCCAGGATTCGACCTTTTTACGGGGTAAGGTATGGTGGGGTCCCGGCCAAAAGGGTGGGGGGGGTATGGTCCTGGCCGCCGGAGGCGGCCTGCTCGACGGGTGGGGGGGTATGGTCAATCGCTGGACAGTCGCTGGAGCCGCCGTACCGCCCACACGTTACAACAGTACACGCCGCGCTCCGACCGCGCCCGCGCCTGCGCCCGCGCCTGCGCCGGCACGCAAGGCCCTGGCGGCCTTTGCGGACACGCTCTGAGGGGTGAGCACGATTGCCGGCGGGTCACCTCGCGCAGACTGCATCGCGCGAACCCGTGCCGCACGACCGGACGGCCTAACACGACGGTTACTGTACGCTCGTGTGGTGGGGTGGGGGGTGGGGGGTGGGGGGGTATGGTCCTGCTGGCCAGAGGCGACGTCCTGTGCGGGTGGGGGGGTATGGTCGCGGCGCCAGGGCCGGGAGACCACCATACCCTACCCCCCAGAAACCTCGAATCCAGGGAGCTTTGACTATGTGGCGGGCCGCGCCGCAGAGCGTCTCTTGTGAGCCGCCCCCTCGTTGTGGCCAGCTGATCGGCAAAAGGAGGTGCGATTTCCACACGGCCAACAAGTGGCTCACGGTCGCCAGCACTTACTGCGGCTGACACTCCACAATGCTCGTCCTCGTCTCCAGCGCACCGGCTGGCCTCGTCGTTCCTGGCAGCGCGCAGCACCGTCCGCACCGCGGCCGGAGTCCATCACCGCGGCTCACCGCCGACAAACCGCCCGCACTTGGGTTCACCTTCACGCCAGGCGGGCTGCTCTTCCCGTACTACGTCGGTATCGCCTACTCCCTTAAGGAGGAAGGCCTGGTCTCGCCCACCACTCCAGTCGGTGGCTCGTCAGCGGGTTCGATCGTTGCCGCTGCGCTCGCGTGTGGCGTCGAGGAGGAGACGGTGCTGAGCGGCCTCGCTGCGCTCGTGGAGGACGTCCGGAGCGGAACGCGGCTCAACCCGGCCCTGCGGAAGCAGCTCGACGTCCTGATGCCGGAGGATGCGGCGCGGCTGGCGATGGAGCACAACCTCGCCGTCGGCTACCTGCGCGTGACTCCGTGGCCAAAGGCGTGCATCGTCACCGAGTGGGAGTCCAAGGCCGACCTCATCGACACGGTGCGCCGAGCTCGTCTCCTCTTCGAGGCCCACGGACGCGCCCATCCCGACACACACGCAGCCGTGCAGGTGTGCGCGTCGTGCAACTGGCCCTTCTTCTTCTCGCGGTGGCCCCTCGTGTGGTGCCGCGGCCAGCTCGCCCTCGACGGCTTCTTCTCCGTCCCGCGCTCGCGCTTCGGCTGCCCCCCGCTCACCGGCGCCGGCGGTCTGCCGCCCGAGCGCACGGTCGCCGTCTGCTGCCTGCCGCGCGTCAGCCTGGCTGCCTTTGCTGCGCGAGACACTATCCAGCCCGAGCGGCGCGCAGAGTACAGGCTCGATGCCGCCCTGCGCCGCAGCTGTGAAGAGCGTCTCCTCACGCGGTGCGCTGTGGACAGGCTCGAGGTGCCCGAAGCACAGTGGTTCTCTTGGGCCCTCGAGCCGGCGACGGATGCAGAGCTGGCGGGCATGGTGCGCAAAGGGCGCGAGCACGCCAGGGCGTGGCTCGAGGCCGACTCGAGGCCGCAGGCGGCGCGGCGGGATCGGAATTGAGGGCTGGCGAGAGCGAGCCCGCGGCGGGGGCGCGGGGTGAGAGAGAGAGAGAGACCGACGGCAGACCGAGACGCAGACGGTGGACCGTCTGGAGACTGGACACAGCTGTGGCGATTGTAGGTTTCGTACCCATCTCCTAGTTAACACATAAAAGAGAGACCTTTCCGCGGCGGCGTCTCCCGTCTCGCCAACACTGAACACACACACCTCACACCACGCCATACACACGCTCGCCGCGGCTGGCTGGCAGTACAACGTAGACGGGCGGCCGTAGCGTTTGTCACACAGAGCAGATCCTATGCATCGGCGAGCACCTTCACATCTCCCCTTCGCCCTCCGCCGCGCCGCGGCAGCCGTACGCGTCGATCGCCTCGACCTCCAGGTGGACGGTGCCCTCGACGCCCTCCGCCCAGATCGACATCGTCTTCATGTCGCGCAGCGTCTTTGCATCCGGGCAGTAGTCGTGCTTCTCGGCGCAAGTGTGTATCGCCTTGCCCGTCGCGTCGTCCCAAAAGTCGGTGAAGTCTGTGAAGGGGATCTTGACCTCTCCGAACGCGTGCGTGGGCGGGTGGAGATCCGCTTTGTAGCCTTGCGCGAAGAACTTGCCGCCGATCGGCTTGGCCGTGCCGAACGAGATGCGGTAGCCCTTGTAGCCGCCCGAAAAGTCGCGAGCCTTGATCGTTAGGCCCTCGCACGCCGACACGTCCACAAAGGACTCGCTGCGGAAGAGGCCCTTGCCGGTCACGGCCGTGATGAAGCCGGGAGCCTGCAGCGACGGCACGATCGCGCAAGTCCCTGTGAAGTTGAGCCGCGCGGGCGCACCCTCCACGGCGACGCGGGAGGACGAGCGGCCGCCCATGACGGGATCGTTCATAGCGCTCCACTCGTGGAGGAGCGGCTTTGGCGAAGAGTCGGAGAAGCGGACGAGCGGCACGGCGGCAGCCGCCGAGGCGGCAGCCGCCGAGGCGGAGGCCGCCGAGGCGGAGCCGGCAGCAGAGGCAGCGGCCGCCGAGGCTGAGGCCAGAAGGGTTGCGACTAACATCCCCGATCGCCTGCGCAGGATTCGAACTTTTTGCGGGGTAAGGTATGGTAGCGTCGGGGCCAAAAGGGTGGGGGGGTATGGTCCTGGCCGCCGGAGGCGGCCTGCTCGACGGGTGGGGGGGTATGGACAATCGCTGGAGCGGCCATACCGCCCACGTTACAACAGGGTTCGAACCCATACACAGCCGCCGTACACAGCCGCGGACACGATGCCGACTCACAGCGGCCGCTTCGATACTGTCGCGGGCCTTCTCGCCGCGACGCCGCCTCGACTTCGGCTCCTGGACAGCTCGCTGCCCGACGACGCCGAGCGCGCCGCTGTGCGCAGCTGCTGCGCTGGTACGCTTGCGTCGTGCATCGCACGGCTCGACGCTGCGATTGCACCGCATGCCGTCCGCATGATGGACGGGAGGCTTCCGACAAGCGACGCTTTCCGTGGCGACGACCACGATCTCAGCAAGCTGAAGGCGCTCAAAACTGTCGCCACGATGGTCCTGCAGGACGGACCGATGCTCTATCGCGAGGCCTGCGCGAGTCTCGTCCACGCGCGCTCCACCTTCTTCTAACGAGTGGGGCATGTACTACAAGAGCCCCCCCAACTCGGGCCAGCCGCGCAACCCCTTCGAGATGGCGCGCGCGCGCGCGCCCACGGTGGCCGCGCCGCCGCCGCCGGCGGCGGAGGCGACGGCGGCGGAGGCGGTGGAGGTGGAGGCGGAGGCGGCGGAGACGCCGGAGGTGACCATGGCGGAGGCGGAGGTGGCGCCAGCGGAGGCGGCGGAGGCGGAGGCCGTTCCAGCGGAGGTGACCATGGCGGAGGCGGCGCCGGCGGAGACCGCGCCCGTGCCCGCGCCCGAGGTGACCATGGCGGAGGCGGCGCCGGCGGAGACCGCGCCCGCGCCCGCGCCCGCGCTCGCACCGGCCGCGCCCGCGCCTGCGCCCGCGCCTGCGCCGGCACGCAAGGCCCTGGCGGCCTTTGCGGACACGCTCTGAGGGGTGAGCACGATTGCCGGCGGGTCACCTCGCGCAGACTGCATCGCGCGAACACGTGCCGCACGACCGGACGGCCTAACACGACGGTTACTGTACGCGCTCGTGTGGTGGGGTGGGGGGTGGGGGGGTATGGTCCTGCTGGCCAGAGGCGCCGTCCTGTGCGGGTGGGGGGGTATGGTCGCGGCGCCAGGGCCCCGACCATACCATACCTCACCCCGCAAAAAGTTCGAAGATTTTCTTTTTTCCCGTGTTCCAGTGTCAGGCCGTCACCGCCCGTCTTGCGTCCACCCATACCGCGTTGGTGTCCCAGTCGTTGGTCGGACTGTGTTTCGCCTTCCTATCTAGTCAGTACATACATATAGTCAGTTAGACAAAAGACTTCTTCTTCGTTCGCTCACCGCGAGGCTTTTTCCGCGCCATAGCAACTGTCTATGTACGCGCTCCGCCCCCGGCCGCTGCCGCCGCGAATGCGCCCGGCGGCCGCGCGCTTGGTGCGGAGGCCCACCGGACGCTCGCGCGGCGCCAGGGCGTATCGGTCTCGGCACGTCTCGCGCGCTGTGAGATGCCCTTCGACATGTGGGCGCTCGCTACAGTCGCCAGAAGGCTTGGCGTCCACTGCTGAGAGAGAGATTTTTAGCAATACCAAACAACTCTAACACTCACTGCTGTGGTCGCTGGGGTCCGGCGGTCCGCTCGTCAGGCTCTACGATGCGACGGTCGGTTCTTCGCTCGCGTCGCCTGCGACGACCCTGCATGGCTCGTGGCTCGACGGGAGCTTGCTCAGCACGCTCCCAGGATTGTGTGGAGCCTCGCCTGGCCCTCTGGGGTGGGCTGCAGGGCCGGGGCGGGCCGCCACGGGTGCGATGGCGCGCTGAGTACTACCTCTGCGATGACTGCCGGCTCTCTTATCGCTGCCGCGCCGCGCCGCCGCCCCATGATTATATGATTATTAATTAATAATACATTAATTAATAAGTAATTACCCCACCGCCGCCGCGCCGCCCCGCCCTGCGTCGCCCGCTGCCTCGCCGCGCCGCCGCCTCGCGCCGCCCGCCGCCGCGCCGCGGCCGCCGCCCAATGATTAATAAATAATAATTAATACTGAACGATAGCGGTCACGCCGTAGCTCGCGCATAGAAGCAGGAAGCCAGGCGGCCGCATCGCGTTCGCTGTATACGTTTTACCCAAAACCGGAACCAAAACACGAATCTCCAATCCAAGGAGGGATGAAATCCCTTATGGATATAATCGCCAAATTATCTCAAGAGCATAGTGTGAATGCCCGGGAACAGCCCCTCCTGGCCCGAGTGCGGGGCGCGAGGGACAAACAAACTCAGAGGGCATGAAAGTCGTCAAGCTGCTTGATCAGGCCAGTAAAGATGGCCCGCGAGGCAGCCTTCGTGAGCAGGTCGGCGAGCATCACGACGCCGGGGAGGTGTTCGACAGAGATAACGCCACGGCTGACGAGATCGCGAAGGAATTCGGCGGCGCGCAAGATGTGCTTGGTCTTCTTGAAGGCAACGGGATCGAAGGCCATGCCGACGGCGGATTTGCTGTCGCAGTTGATGACGCTGGCGCCGTCGACGGAAAATCCAAGGTCGATCAGTACGGCAAGGACACGATGGTGAGGCCCTCAGCGCAGCGTGCGCGGCAGCATCCCCGCCGGCGGCCCCACGCCGCATCAGCGGCGCTCTGAGTGAGGCAGGCTACGCTGCACAGCCTGCTGAGCACGCTCCCGACGAGCGTCGCGCCACGCGGGCCCGCCGCAGGCGACGCGGGCGGCGAGCCGATGCGCGTGTCGTAGGCGTAGGCAGCGCTGGCGAAGCGAGGCGGCCGGCGCTGGCCCCCGCAGGCGGTTGCAGCGAGAGGCGCGAGGTAAAAGACACTGTTGAAAGGTTGGAGAGCAGCCTGCCGTGGAGCAGCGCGCCGCGCAAGCCCGCCGCCGGCGCCCCGATCGGAGAGCTCGTAGTCATGGTAGCATTCAGCGCGCCATCTCGCCCGAGACGGCCCGCTCCGGCCCTGTCGGCCTTCCCAGACACCTTGTCGAGGCTGTACAGAGTGCCGAGAGCATGCTGAGCAGGCTCCCGTCGAGCGACGAGCCATGCTGGCTCGTCACGGGTCGCGAGCTCGAAGACCCCGCGCGGAGCGTCGCCGAGCCTGGCGGGCCCGCCCGCACGCCCGCGGCCGCAGGCAAGGAAGGCGAGCTTCCTGGCGTTTACGCCAAGCGCTCACATGCCGAAAGACACCTCGCAGCGCGCGAGACGTGACCAAAGCGGCACGCACGCCTCGGCGCCGCGAGAGCAGCCGGTCGACGTCGGCACCAAGCGCGCGGCCGCCGGGCGCCTCCGAACCGACAGGGGCGCCGCGGCAGTAGAGAGCACTCCACCCGCCATACCGATTTAGGCCGATAGTCGGGAAAAAAAGAACAGAAAGCCCTTCCGGAATCTGCATCGAACGCTCTCGAAGGGGTCCTCGAAAGTCGAACGGCGCCGCCCTTGATACCGTCCCGTTGCCAGCCGCCGCCCAGCCCGCCCCCATGGTGTCCGCTGAGGAGATTGCTGCCGTCGAAGTCGAGCGCTCCAAGAGGACCATCCGAGGTTCTTTGCCGCGGCACGCGAGCGCCGACATGCTCCCGGGCATGGGGCTGGCTGGCGGGCACATGCCGCGGCACGCGAGCACGCCCGCCTCGCTCTGCTCCAGTCCGATGGGCGCGCGAGGCGGGCCAAGGGAGGCCTCCAGTCAGGCTTCTGGTCTTCGCCGGTTCGAGACGATCCCGTCAGACGAAGCCGCCTGGCCAAAGAGCCTAGCGGACGCGGTGGCGACTTCGGAGGTGCTCTCCGCGCGCCGGCCTCCTCGGCCCCTTGCGACTTGGATCACGACGCTCGATGCCGTGCCGCCGGACCAGCGTTCTGCCGCCTCGCCTGCGCGTGCGCCGGCGCCGCCCCCTGCCCCAGCGCCTACAGTTTTGCGCACTGGCGCGGACACGGTGGGGAACGGTCAGGGTTTGCGCAGCATCCTCCCTGGCTGGGGAAAGTGAGCACCTGTCGCTGGCGAGGCGGAGATGGACACTCGCTTCTCTCCGAGACAAGCCGCGGCGGCTACTTTCCTTCCCGCCGACCAAACTGCCTGGTTCTTGCGTGAGCGCTTTGGGTGCGCGGGGGGCTTATGTACGTGCGCGCCACAGGACTTGTCCCGGGGTTATGCGTTTGCCGTTGCCGTGCCGTCCGGGGGCGGACCCGACGTGGCGGGCGGGGACGCCAGGCGAGAGTGTGGGGGGGTTCGTGTGCGCGGGCGAGCCGACTCAAAGGGGAGGGCCACAGGGAAAATAGGGGGGGGAGCGCCGCGGGCCGTGTGAGCGGCGAGCGCGCACACTTTGAGCGGTTCAAAGTCGCAGCTCCATTTTTCAGATGAATACATGTATTCAGTGTGGTTCTGGTTGGTGGTTCTGAGGAGGGCTGCCTGGTGGGCGGCGCCGCGCGGCGCCGAAACACTCTCGACCCGAACGACCCGCGACGGCCCCCGCGGCACCTCATGTGCAGCCCCCGGGGGCCACACACAGCACACTGGACACTCGCACTGCCCCGCGGTTGCGCCCGTGCGCGTGCGCCGCGGTTGCGCGTACCGCGCCGCCCGGGGACAGGCACACAGCACACAGCAGTAGTCGCAGTACGCAGCGCTCAGAGAAGCCTCGAGAGAGAAAGGAGGGGCAGAGAACGCGCGGCCGGTGTCCGGATTGAGACCCCAGACGCCAGACCCCAGGCTGCGCGCGGCTAGCCATGCAGTCTGCACTCGATGCGGTGACGGGTGTGGCCGGCGCGGTGGGGCCGGGTCCCTCTCGGCCTGGTGGAACACGTCGACTGGCGAGAGTGCGCCGCGTTCTCACTCCCCAAACCATCTCACTAGACATCACTCCCCATCCTCCTCGCTGCCTTCCTCAACCTCGGAGCCGTCCTCGCCCTCGTCTTCGGACGAGAGAGCGCCGCACGCATCCTCCTCTGCGTACACCAGCGCGAGCGCAACCTCCGGCCAGCCCCGCCCCGCCCCGCCAGCCTTCTGCGCCGTGCCGCCCGAGCCGCTCACCACGCGCGCGAGGGTGCGGGCGAGGACTCGCCTCCCGCGCGCAGCTCGGCTTGCCGCGGCCCATCGGACGGCCGCCTATTCACAGCCGTGGGTGTGAAGAGACGCTGTTCACGGCTTGCCGCGGGCCCATCGGATGGCCGCCGGCACGCTGCAAGCCGCCTGGCTCCGCTGGCTCCGCAAGCTGCTCAGGCCCTCCGCGTCCAGCAGCACCTGCTCACGGCGTGTGGGTGTGAACAGCGTCTCTTCACACCTCAGGCCCTCCGCGTCCAGCAGCACCTGCTCACGGCGTGTGGGTGTGAACAGCGTCTCTTCACACCTCAGGCCCTCCGCGTCCAGCAGCACCTGCTCACGGCGTGTGGGTGTGAACAGCGTCTCTTCACACCTCAGGCCCTCCGCGTCCGGCAGCACCTGCTCACGGCGTGTGGGTGTGAACAGCGTCTCTTCACACCTCAGGCCCTCCGCGTCCAGCAGCACCTGCTCACGGCGTGTGGGTGTGAACAGCGTCTCTTCACACCTCAGGCCCTCCGCGTCCAGCAGCACCTGCTCACGGCGTGTGGGTGTGAACAGCGTCTCTTCACACCTCAGGCCCTCCGCGTCCTGCAGCACCTGCTCACGGCGTGTGGGTGTGAACAGCGTCTCTTCACACCTCAGGCCCTCCGCGTCCAGCAGCACCTGCTCACGGCGTGTGGGTGTGAACAGCGTCTCTTCACACCTCAGGCCCTCCGCGTCCAGCAGCACCTGCTCACGGCGTGTGGGTGTGAACAGCGTCTCTTCACACCTCAGGCCCTCCGCGTCCAGCAGCACCTGCTCACGGCGTGTGGGTGTGAACAGCGTCTCTTCACACCTCAGGCCCTCCGCGTCCAGCAGCACCTGCTCACGGCGTGTGGGTGTGAACAGCGTCTCTTCACACCTCAGGCCCTCCGCGTCCGGCAGCACCTGCTCACGGCGTGTGGGTGTGAACAGCGTCTCTTCACACCTCAGGCCCTCCGCGTCCGGCAGCACCAGCCGCCCCCACGCGCGCGCGTGCAGCCTCGAGGCTCTGGCGCGCGCCTCCTTTTGGCCGGGCGCAGAGGGCTTGCTCCTCCAGCCAGCGTCGCACGGCGCGAGGAGGGCGAGCCTGGCCAAAGGTCAGGGCCAGGGCGAGGGTCAGGGTCAGGGGCTGGGGCTGGGTCAGAGCCAGCCTCGCAAGGGGGTTGAGCGAGGGCGAGCCTCTCCGCGGGCGGCGGGACGCAGTCCTTGGCGGCGAGGAGGCCGTACGTCGTCAGCACGACGGCGTGGCGCAGCGCCTCGGCCGCACTCAGCTTGCGGCGAGACACGTGGCACGCGTGGGCGACGAGCCGCCGTCGGAGCGCGGCAGAGACGGCCTCGACTCGCGAGGCGGCGCAGACGATGAGAGTGGCTGAGGTGGCGCCGCGGCGCTGCGGCGCGCTCCTCGAGGCGGCGGCCTTGGCGGCGACAAGGTCGAGGAGGACGGCCTGGGGAAGAACAATAACGATGACCGTGGTACTAATACTCATAGTCAGGTCGAGGAGGACCAGCAGAGGAGGACGGCCTCGGCGTCGAAGCGTGCCGTCGAAAAGAGGAGACCTGAGGGCGGAGGAGGAGGAGGAGGGCGGGGCTGACGGCGGCGTGCACAAGGGGTGGGCCTCGCGTCTCCTCCTCACCTCCGCGGGGAAGAGCGAGCGGCGATGCCCCGTCGAGGGCCCGCGGCTGCCCCTCCCCCTCCTCTTCCCCCTCCTCTTCCCCCTCCTCTCCCCACTCCTGCCTGGCTCGTCCCGCCCCTGGACTGACTCGCCCGGCCGCCTCCTCCTCGCGCCACTCGAGCCACGCAGAGGCGCGATCAAAAGCGCCGCCGCTGCGCTGCTGGTCGAGCCGGCACGCCGCCGAACGGGCTGCTGACTCGCCGGAGGAGGAGGCGGAGGAGGAGGTCTCGATCTGAAGCCGGCCGAGCATTCCCGAGAGCTGGCCGAGTGAGCCGGAGGCGCCGCAAACGTCCTCCTCGAGATCGGTGCCGCAGCCATCGCTGAGCCAGTGCTCCTCGATGTCCGTGTCGCAGCGCGGGTCGAGCAGTGTCGCTGGCGTGTTGCACAGGGTCCGGCCAGTGGGCAGCGGCGACTGAGGAGGCGGCGACTGAGGAGGCGATGCGAGGAGCCGAAGCGGCTGCCGCTCGGACTGTGCTTGGTGGAGCGCCGAGGCTGCGTGGCGTAGCCAGCCTGGAGTGGCGTCGCACGCTGCGGTGAGCTGAGCCGTAGGGGTGAAGCAGCCGGATGACGCGGCCGCGAACTCATCGGGTGTCTCCAGGGCTCGGAGCCAGTCGGGCTGGCTCGCCGAGTTGCGGAGGGCTTCGTCGCGCCGGAGGGCCTCGTCGCGCCGGCGCCGCTCCAGGGTAAGCGGTCCAGCACCGGGCGAGGTCGGCTGCATCGTTTGTCTCAAAGGGGAGGGGCCCAAATAAATAAATAAAAACGGACACCTCTCTACTGTGAGAGGCGCCCGCTCGAACGCGAGCAAGCAAAAAAAGAAAAAAGCGCGAAGGGCGCGGTACCAACCGAGTTATGGCCCTGCGACCGCGACCCGCCAGGGCTAGGGCTCTCTCGAGCCCGCAACCCGATACCAAGAACGTCAATCGTCGTCTGCCAATCCGCAATCGTCTGGCCAACTGGCAACTGGGTGCGCTTCTTAGCTCCCCCCGGTCCTGGGCGTGAGGTTCGGATGACCGCACTAAATGTGCTCCAAGCATGATTCGGGTTCGGCGGGGCCGCGATTGTAAGCTGCTTCCGTTGCAGACGCACGGCGGCCCTCCTCCTCACCTCACACCCGACACCCGACTAAATAACTCGTCATACGTCATGTGCTCTCGCCGCCCGCGCGCTTCTCGCCGCCTGAGCGCTTCCGATGCTGGAAGACCGAGGCGCGCGAGGCAGCCGAACGCCTCCGCACGGGCACCACGGCCTCCCCCAGCTTGTGCTGCAGTGCAGCGCTGGCCAAGAAAGCCTCCCCAGATGGCGTCAGGACGGTCCTCCCTCCTTGCGGCCTCTGCGACTCCTCGCTGGGTGCCGCCGCGAACGTCGCGCCGCTTGCGGCGCCCGTTCCGGCGCCGTCGGCGCCGGGCACTCGCAGAAAAAGAGCCGCGTCAGCTGCGAGCGGCTTTGAGGCTTTCGAGACGGGAGCGCCGATTTGGTCGTCACATAGCCGGCAGATATCGCAGCCTTGGCGGCCTGCGACGGAGCAGCACGGAAGGAGAAGGGAGTAAGAGAGCAGGACGGTCTGGTGAAGGGAGTAAGAGGGCGAGTCAGGCAGCGCTTTCCAGACGCACCGCTCGGTTTCCGCAGAGCCCACGCGCGACCAGCAGCGCATCGGCGCGCACGAGATTGCTGCATAGCGAGGGCGCAATGAGGCAGAGAGACAGCAGCGTTCGCATTTTCAGCCTTCAGCCGGCTGAGGATGCGGGCTCCAGAAAAAAGAAAACGCAGTCCAACCCGCTGGGTAAGGGCCGCAAAGAGCATAGCTATTCGCCCCCCGGGGGGGGGCTGTGGCGGGAGTTGTGGCGGGAAACAAGCATCTGACGAACGCAATTTGCGCGGAACGCCCGCCGCGGGGCTGCAACAGGGCCCCAGAAATGGAGCTCGTGTACCCCGAACACCCCACAGAGAAGCCCCGGTCGACGTCCGCGCGCACGCAGTCGCCGCTGCCGGCGTGTGCGGCAAAAGCCTTTGCAGATTGGCAGTCGAGGCGAGCGCATGCCGAGCAGCAGAAGCAGCCACGATGAGCACCTCCGGGTACCGCCCTCGCCACTGTCCCCTCGCAACGATCCGCGCGATCTGCTGTACTCTGGCTCGGGCAGTCTCCATCTCCCGCCAGATCGCCTGCCACCACCAGATGTTCTTCTCCCTCTGCTTCGCCCGCCACTTGCTCGCCGCTGCGCGCCGCGCCGCCGCTGCACCCGCCGTGTTTTCTCTTCACTGTCGCTGCCTGCCGCTGCCGCTTCAGCCGCTTCTGCGTAAGCCGCTGGCCGTATTTCCGGCGCAGATGGCGGAGGGCGGCTTCGCCTACTTCAGGTCCTCGGACGTGACGCTGCAGGTGAAGCTGCTCGTCCAGCAGCTTCACGGCTCGGTCCCTGCAATGTGTGCCTCGCATCCGCCGCTCAGCTATGCTGCGTGGCTGGCGGGCGCGTGCGGAGTCGCGCCGCACGACCTGCACATCTCAGCTCAGCTCCTAGTCCACGGGATGCCTCTCGGCCAGCCGGAGCGTACCTACTCGGCCGCTGGCTCCAAGCTCCGCTGGAACGAGTGGCTCTCCTTCACCGCCAAATATTGCGACCTCTCCGCCGACGCGGCGCTGCGGATCTCGGTCTACGGCACCGCGGGCCCGCGCGAGCCGGTGCTCATCGGCACTGCGACGGCCAAGCTCTTCGACGCCGCCTCTCGCCTTCGCGAGGGCGAGTTGCAGCTCGCCCTCCGACTCGTGCCCCGGTTCGCAAGCGGAGACGGCAGCAGCGATCCGGCCGGGGAGGAGGCGGGCGAGGAGGGCCGCGTCCGGAGCAAGGACGAGGTCGAGTCGGAGGAGCTCGAGGCGATGGCGGCGCGGCACGAGGCCAGCCCTCCCTCCCCGCCCCCTCTCCCGGCCGCGGGCCTCTCCCTGCCGCGCCTTCTATCGCCGCCAGCAGCCGGCTCCTCTGCTCTGAGCTGAGCAGATCGTGTATTGTATTGAGTGACTTTCGCCGGCTCCTCTGCCCCGCCTCTCGCAGGCCGCCCTCTCGCGAGGCTCCGAGCTGGCGTGGCTTGACAAGCCAACCTACCAGCTGATCGAGGCGCGCCAGCTGGCGCTGCACGGGCGCCTCTCGCGCCACCTCCTCTCGATCCGCCTCCCCGATTTCGAGTGAGCTACGCGCACGCACCTCCAGACACCTCCTCGCCTGCCCAACACCTCCTAGACACCTCCTAGACACCTGCCCGACGCCTCCCACCACCACACCCACCGGCCCAGAGGCGTGAGAGGCGCTGCTGCAGTGAGCGGCGCTGCTGCAGTGAGCGGCGGTTCCGTCCAGGCACTGCACTCCGTGACTCTTCAACACCGACTGCCGGTAACCACTGCCGCTGCTGTAGGCACCCTGTGCTGCTGCACGAGCGCTCTGCTGCGCTCCCTCCGCCCTTCCTGCAGCCGCCGCCGCCGCGGCCTCGCGCGCTCGCCCAGCCGCCGAGGCTTCCTCCTCGCGCCTCCACGCCCGAGCGGGCGGCGGCGGCGGCCGACAGCCCAGCGACGCCGTCGAGCTTGCCTGCCAGGCCCTCGGAGGTGTGGTGCAGTGGAGAGGGCAGTGCAGGACAGCAGTTGAGCCTGCTTGCCGTGCAGTACAGCAGTTGACTTGCACGGCCTTGGGAGGAGAAGCTCCCTGGAACTGCCAGAAGCTCCCTGCAACTGCCTTAGGCGAGTCACGACCCGCACCCGCCCCCCGACCCAGCCCCTACACCCGCAGGCGAGCCGCGCAGCCCGCCTCAGTCCCGGGCCGGCGGCGGGCGCGGCGGGCGGCCTCGGCGGCGGCGGATCGCCGGGGCAATCCGAGGCTGCTGCATCTGGAGGCGACAGAGGCGGTGCGGCGGGCGGTGCGGCGGCCGAGGCGGAGGGCGGCGGCGAGGTGGATGCTTCTCTCGAGGCCGCGGCGGCGCCAGCAGCGGCGGCGGCGCCAGCAGCAGCGCAGCCGACAGCGGCGGCGCCAGCGGCGGCGCAGCCGGTGGCGCTGGAGCCTCTCGACCGGACCGGTCTCGGTGCGACGAGATGAGCCGAGATGAGCAGAGATGAGCAGAGATGAGCAGAGATGAGCAGAGATGAGCAGAGGTTGCGCTTCTGGCTCAGTGGCTGCTCCCGGGGGGCGAGCGAGGTGTGGAGAGCGCCTTCTCTCACGGGGTGAGGCGCGAGGCTTGCTCCGCGGCACGCCCATGACACGTCCACGACACGTCCATGACATGTCCATGACACGTTCGAGCCATGGCCACACAGGCTTGCTCTGCGACGGCGAGGTCGGGCGCGACTCGCCCGCCCTCGCGCGGCACCACCGACTCGCGCGCTCGCTGCTCTCGGTGCCAGACAAGAGGGGGGGGGGGGGGGTCTAGAGGCTGAGGCCAGGCGCGTGCGGGACCTCACCGGCACGCCCCTCCCTCCCCCGCCAGGCCGGATTCGCGCGTGAGCTCAAGCCGGACTCGGAGGAGCGGCGCCGGCTCGCGACACTCGTCGCCCTTCCTCCGACCACCAGGCTGCGCGACGAGGTGGCGCCAGAGGCCTGGAGCCGCCCCTCGCCCCTCCCGTCTCCGACCCCTCCCTCCCTCCCTCCCCTCCTCCCCTCCTCCCTCCCCTCCCCCTCCCGCAGGAGCGCGAGCTCGTCTGGAAGTTCCGGTACGCGCTGACGGAGCAGCCCCGCGCCCTCACCAAGCTGCTCAAGTGCGTCGACTGGCACCGCTCCGCACCTTGAAGGCCAGGCCGCGCTGCCTCAACACACGTCCACCGACGCGTCCCATGTCCGCACAGGTCGGACCCGCGGGAGGCGGCCCACGCGCGACAGATCGCGAGCCAGTGGGCGCCCGCTGAAGTCGGCGATCTGCTCGAGCTGCTCGGCGCGAGATGCAGCCGAGATGTATGCGAGATACAGCCGAGGTCGTCGGTTGCTCGAGCCGCTCGGTGCTCCCTCGCGCTTGTGCGATGCAGCCCTGGAGTGAGGGACGAGTGTGCCCCGCCAGGCCCCTCCTTCGTCTCGGCGCCGGCGTGGGTCCGCCAGTGCGCGGTCGACGGGCTGCGGCTGCGCGCCAGCGACGAGCAGCTCGTCGCCTACTTGCTCCCCCTCGTGCAGGCGAGAGGTGGGGGAGAGGTGGGGAGAGGTGGGGGCAGAGGTGGGGGCAGAGGTGGGGCAGATGTGGGGCAGATGTGGGGGACAGGTGGGGGCAGAGGTGGGGGACAGGTGGGGGACAGGTGGGGGAGATATGGGGGAGATGTGGGGGAGAGAGCAGCTCGTCGCCTTGCTCCCCCTCGGTGCGCAGGCGGTGCAGTACGAGGCACGCCTGCCTCTCCCGCCCGACGAGGCGCCGCTCGGAGCCCTCCTCGTCTCCCGCGCGGTCGCATCCGTCCAGCGCGCCGCCGCCGCCGCCCCGGCCGCCGCGCCGCCGCCGCCTCCTCAGCCTCCGCCGACGGGTCGGGCTGGGAGCGGCGGCTTGGGCGAGGTTGGGACGGCGCTGCTCGGTGGCTTGTCGCATGCCGTGCGCGGATCGATCGGGGGCGCCGCGCCGCCAGCTGCGCCCGCGCCGCCTGCTGCTGCTGCAGGCATCGCCGAGTCGCGGAGAGAGCGCTGTTCGCCGCACGCACCGAGATTCGCCGGCAGCACTCTCGCAGGCGGCGGCTTCTCGGAGCTGGCCATCTCGCTGCACTGGTACATCTCCCTCGAGCGGCGCGACCCGAGGCACGGGCCGCACTACGCCGCGGTGTACGACGCGTTGCACGTCGGTCTCGCCGCCACGCCCGCGGGGGCCGCTCTGCGGTCGATGCTGCGCCGGCAAGAGGCGCTCGTCGGCGCCCTCTCCGCCGCCGCGCAGGCGCGCCCACGGGTCTCACGCGGGGGCGGGGGGGCGGGGGCAGCGAGCGGCGCCCCTCCCCGTCTCGCGACAGGCGCTCAAGGCGGCGGGCGAGTCGCGGCCGAAGCGGATCGCGCGGCTGCAAGCCATGTTCGAGAAGGACGCCGGCCCGCTCGCGCCGCTCCGCTCGCTCGACGCGCCGCTCATCCTGCCCCTCGACCCGACCGCGGCGGTGGTCGGCGCTCTGCCCGAGCGCTCCACCGTCTTCAAGTGCCCGCTCTCTCGCCCGCCCCCTCTCGCCGCCCCTCTCCGACTCGGCCGTGAGTTGGCCGCGGCTCGCCCACAGGTCGGCTCTCTCGCCCATCTCGGTCACCTTCCGCGCGCTCCTGCGCCCGCCCGCTGGCAGCGGCGGCGGCGCCTCCTCCTCAACCTCCTCCGACGGCGGCGGGGGCGGCTCGTACGCAATCATCTTCAAGAGCGGCGACGATTTGCGCCAGGACCAGATGGTGGCGGGCGGGAGCGCGGCTGGCCGAGCGCTCGGTTGGCGGGCTCTGAGGCTTCGTCGGCGAGGGTAGGTGCTGGCGATGCTGCGGCTGATGGACTCGCTGCTGCGCGCGCAGGGGCTCGACTTGCAGCTGACTGCGTACCGCGTGCTCGCGACGGCGCCCTCCAAAGGGATGGTGGAGCGATATGACCCGAGATTACCCGAGATTACCCGAGATTAGGCGCCCTCCGAGGGGATGGTGGAGCGAGTGGCGGCTTGCGCGCCGCTCGCGGACATCCTCAAGGAGCAGCGGGGCGACATCCGCCGCTTCCTCGCGCAGTTCCACCCGGACAGCTCCGCGCCGGCCAACCAGCGGCCTCGCCTCGCCCCCCTTCCTCCCCCTCCCGCCCTCACCCCGCGCCCCGCCTCTGCTGTAGTACGGCATCGCGCCTGCGGTGCTCGAGCGGTTCGTCAAGTCGTGCGCAGGCTACTGCGTCGCCATGTACTTGATGGGCGTGGGCGACCGGCGCCTCACCGCCCTCGGTCACACGGCGGCCTCTTCCCGCTCGCCTTGACTGCTCGTGTGCGGACGAGGTAGGCACCTCGACAACCTCATGCTCCGCACCGACGGCGCGCTCTTCCACATCGACTTTGGCTATATCCTCGGCCGCGACCCGAAGCCCTTCCCGCCGCCGATGAAGCTGTGCAAGGAGATGGTCGAGGCGATGGGCGGCGCCGACTCGCGGCTCTACGAGCGGTTCCGCGTGCTTTGCTGCGAGGCGTTCGACGTCGCCACCGCGGCACCGGGCATGTCGCGGACATGTCGCGGACATGTCGCGGACATGTCGCGTAGGCGTTCAACATCCTGCGCGCGTCGTCGAACCTCATCCTCAACCTGCTGCTGCTGATGGTCGACGCCGGCGTCGCCGACCTCAAGACGGAGCAGGACGTGCTCAAGGTGACGGAGAAGCTGCGGCTCGACCTCTCCGACGAGGAGGCGGCGCTCTACTTCCAGGAGCTCATCTCGGAGAGCGTCTCCTCGCTCTTCCCGCAGATCAACGAGACAATACACCGGTGGGCGCAGTACTGGCGCTCCTGACACGCGCTGACAGTGTGAGACACAACGACCGGACGACCATGCTCCATGTGCAAACTTTGAGACAAACCTCGCGGGTTTTAATATGCGCGTGAAGCAAAATCGCCGCGCGGTCAGAGAACAGGCACGGGAGCATGCGCCTGGGTCTTGGTCATTTCTTTTTTGTCATTCGTCTCGCTCTCAAATAACTCACTCAAATATAGATCTGGGTTCTGGGCTTCTGGCGGGGGGGGGTAATAGCTATAACGGCTTCGACCCTTCGAGCAAACTCTCGAGCGTGGGCGCCGTGGCCGTCGCGTTTTGATCTCTCGGTGAGTGGGCGGGGCCGAGCCGCCGCGGGGTGGCGGGCGGGCGGGCGTCGTTTTGAAAAACAGAAAACACAGAAAACTCAAGGGGGGCCGCGGCCGGCGGGACGACCCTCTATATCGATCTAGTTAGCACTAGTTGCCCCTAGACTACAGCCCCTAGATATGACCCTGGGAGTAGAAAATGCGCCCAAGGGGGCCCAGAGGGGGCCAAGGAGGCGGCGCGGGGAAGCATAGAGGTGAGAGCAGGAAGGATGGCGCTTAGGATCGGCTAACTAACGGCTTCGTGAAAGGCAAGCCGAGAACGGAGAAGGGGGTGTTTTTCCAGAGTTTTTAGAGCAGTATTTGGTGTCTCGGCACACACATATGTCATATCCCCGCACGAGGTCAGCGCGGCGCGTGCAGAGTGCCTCTCTCGCAGGCTGATTTTGGCTGTTTTTGAGATTGTTTTTGTTTTCAGACTAAGGGGGCCCGGCGGGCCAAACCACAGGTTTCGATCCGTGCCACCGCAAATTTTGATCAGCAAATTTCGAGGGGCGGCCGCAAATTTTGAGGTAGATTTTGATTGTCAAAACACGTCCGTCTTGCCGCAGGATAGAGCATATAGGCGGCGAACACCCACACACACGACATCCCACCACTCAACAGGACGCGTTCACCTCCCCAGACATGGCTAACGCGCGGGCGCACAGACGGGCGTCCTCGCTCAGGCCATCGCATTGCGCTCCCCCGCGACCGACCGCGCGCACCTCCCGGCTCTGGTGCCGATCATTTCTAGCGCAGGCGGCCGCCGGATGACGCAGCTGCTTTGATGGCGAGCATGAACGGCCTGCGTTCCTGCTCGAAGACCCGTCTCAGGCCATATCTGGTGCCTACTTGTCCCTCCTTCTTGGCCAGGTTGAGCGCGCGACAGGCCCGCGACGATGCCTTGGCCCGCGCAATGTGCTCTTCGCGCGCCACCCGGTCCGCCGAGTCGACCGCAGCGAGCACCGAGGGGACCGAGCCCGGTAGTGGCCACCGGAAACGGACTATACGCGGCACCCGCGCTCCCGCTCGTAAGAGGTGGCTGGCGCCCTGAGGCGGCATTTGGTGGCGTGAGGAGTGCGGAACGCTACTGGCGGCGTGACAGGGCCTCTCTCGGCCGCGTGTGCCGCCCATCGGCACGCGGGTGCGCAGACATCGCGACTCTGCCCGCTCGCTCGACCCTTTTGCCGCGAGAGGGCGCCGGCCGCGTGTAAGAGGTGGCTGGCGCCCTGAGGCGGCATTTGGTGGCGTGGGGAGTGCGGAACGCTACTGGCGGCGTGACAGGGCCTCTCTCAGCCGCGTGTGCCGCCCATCGGCACGCGGGTGCGCGGGTGCGCAGACATCGCGACTCTCCCGCTCGCTTGACCCTTTTGCCGCGAGAGGGCGCCGGCCGCGTGTAAGAGGTGGCTGGCACCCTGAGGCGGCATTTGGTGTGGGGTCGGCGTGCGGGGCTGAGTCTTACTCGTCGGCGCTGGGGCCAGATCCCAGCGCAGAACTCTGCAACGCTGGCATATAGACACAACAAGACTAACCCGAACCCTAACCCTAACCCTAACCCTAACCCTAACCCTAACCCTAACCCTAGCCCTAACACCCTAACCCTAACCCTAGGTCAGCGTACGGGGCTGAATCTTACTCGTCGGCGCTGGGGCCAGACCTCAGCGCAGAACCCTGCAACGCTGGCATATACAGACACAACAAGACTAATTTTAACCCTAAGCTAACCCAACCCTAACCCTAACCCTAACCCTTGCTAACCCTAACCGTAACCCTAACCCTAACCCGAACGCCGAACCCGACCGGACCTGGACCGGACCCCCAACTCCACACCGCAATTTGAAAGTCAGTCAGTCAGTCTTACACACCTCCAAGCATGGAGGACGGGCCCACACGCACACACGCTGCACACGATTGGCTCGGGAGCCGACACGAGGCACACTGTCACCGGCCGTAGCACCGGGTCCGGACTGCTGGACACACAGCACACAGCTCACAGAACAGCTCACGAGGTGGCGCTGTATAGTGGGGTTCTCAGGGACTGACACGGGAGAAGAAGGTGGAGCACAGGGACGGGGACACAGGACTCACGAACTGATATCCCACCCCGCGCCGGGGGCGGTGGCGCGCGCGAGCGCCGGGGTATTTGGACCCGCAGTCTGGCAGGCGCCAGGCCACAGATCCGCCGGCGGAGCCTTGAGTCGCATCCGCGATCCGCGCCGGCTCTCAGAAGAGATCCGGCGCGGTGCTGACCGCGCGCCCTCGGAGTGGACCATCGAGTACTCGATGGCTGTCCAGGAGAAGCGGTGCAGCTGCGGCATCTTGTCGCAGCGCGGCATGATGTCGCATTGCGGCATGCGGTACTCCTGCTGCAGCGCGCGCGCGGTGGTGAGGAGAGTGCGAGCCCTTGAGCCGGTGGCGTTGTCCATCGCCGGCGCGTGCGCGCCCCGCCGGCCTTGAGGTGGGTATACGCCACCAGCTAGCCCAGGGGCTGTGGCCCTCTGCGCGGGCGCAGGAAATGCCGTGCGTGCCGGGGTCCAGCCGGCACCGCTCGGGGAGTTGAGGCGGCCGCCGGTGGTGACGGGGGCTCTCCGGGGAGGCCGCAACGCACCACGCGAGTGGCGGCCGCCACTCCGACGCACCGCCGGTGGCGCTGCGCAGAGTGCGCTGCACCACCAGAGGTGTGCCCAAGCCACGAGCAATTTGAAAGATCTTGATGAAAATCAGGGGCCCGACCGCAAATTTCTCCAAAATTTTCGCAGGCGCTCCGCGCCTGCAGATTTTGAAATAAATTCGATAAAATTGGGGGGGCTGGGCCAAGGGCCCGCGCGACCCCCTCAGATGCGGCGGGCGGGCGCCCACTCACCGAGAGATCAAAACACGATGGCCCGTAGCGACCACGTGGCGTGCCCGGCGCCTCTCAACACACGGCCACGCAACACGCGAGTCGCGGCCTCACATGCCAGCGCGAAAAAGCCTAGAGCGCCTCGAAGGTGATCTCCTGAGTCTCGACCTGCGAGACGCCGTCGATGTCCTTGAGCTTCGCAAGGAACTCCTCCTCGAGCGGGTTGTAGTCGGCGCCAGCCCACTCTCCGTGCTCGTCGAGCGGCTGGACGATCGACACCTTGAAGTCGAGGCAGCCGCCGCAGACCTGCCGCGTCACCGAGGCCTTGGGCAGTGCTTTGATGCGGGGCAGGAACTCGGTAAGCAGCTCCTGGCACGCGGCGAGCGACTTTGAGTCGCCAGGCCCGCCGCTCTCGCCCGGCGAGTACTTGCACCTGGAGAGCGGCGACGGATGTGGAGAGCGGGGACGGCAGCCGTGCTGATGTCGTGCGGAGGCCTCACCGCCACTCCCGCGCCACGTTCGAGAAGGCGACCTTGGTGTCACCGATCTCAGCCATCGAAACAGCGGCACGCGAGTTCGCAACAGCGATGGTCGCGCCGATGTTGAGGCCGAGGGCCGAGGTGAGGATCGAGAGACTCATGTGTGTGGAGAGCGCTGCGAGCTGTGCCGTGAAAAAGAAAATAAGCGCGGCTAGCGGAGCTGGGAACAAGACATGAAGGTTGCAGCGAGAAGCGGCGAGAGACTGCGAAGAGAGATAGGAAGAGGCAGACTCCCTAGGGTGGGCGACGGCTAGCGCACCACACACCTCTCCTTAAAATCCCTGTGTGGTGGCGGCGTGCCGTCCTCCCATCCCTCCCTTGGGTTGTCTGTTTTCTTTCTTTCTTTCTTTCTGGGAATAGGACCGCCGCAAGCGGCGTGGCGTGGAGCGGTTGAGCATCCCTCCGGGGGCCCCTCTGCGCCGGGGAGGCGTTGTTGGAGGCTAGGACGCAAGCGTCCGTCTCTGGGGGGAGGCGGGGGCCCCCGGAGGCACCGTGCGCCGCGCAGCAGTGCGGAAACGGGGCTCCGGCTCCGCTAGTCTCCGCTAGCACCGACTTCCCGATTAAGCTAGGTTAATCAGAGGGCAGATTTGGAGAGATCTCGAGGAGTACATACAGATAGACCCTCCAACCATCAGAAAACTCCGACCTGATCGGTCGTACTGACCGCCGACAGATCACTCCAGACAGCAGACAGGCCGACGTCTGCACGCGGCCGGCCGGGCGAGAGGCTTGACACGATCCGACCCTGCGACCCTGACGCTGCTGCTCTAGCTATCAGACATGCACTGCTGACTGCTGCCACAATGTGCGACCTGTGCTGGCCCACTTGGCGGCCTTCCCGGTCAGTGGTGAGGCGCAGTTCAGAGCTGTCGATGGCGCGATGCTGCACTGGTCCCACATTGGTGACACGAGACCACCAAGTTTGCCGGTCCAAGAGAGAGGCACCGGCGCTCTCCTGAGAAAGTGCATGGTCCCTCTTGTATGACTGCCCATGCGCGCGAGGCTGTGTAGGCATAGCCTCGAGAGTGCCAGCAGCCAGTCGCCGAGGCAGTTTGTGACGCGCATTGCGTCAGAAGCGTGCACGCGCTGGAAGGACACCTTGCTTCCTACTGGCCGTACGATCAGGTCGTCACTGAATGGTGGATACTAAGGCCGCGAGCTATGCAGGTGGTCAATTGCGCAGCAGGGCACGGTCAGCAGCGCCGACAGGCTGTCGCAAGGCGTGATAGCATGGCCGCAAGTACAGCGAATTCCCATGAAAACAAGTAAAAAATCGCGCAAAAAAGAAAAAAATCCCGAAAAAATCGGCGCCTGCGGCGGGCCATGGGACCCCATCTCCCCCCCGCATGGATGCCCTCTAGGGCCCTCGCCTCCCCCCAGAGGCGTCCGTCGCCCTTTTCAAACTCGGGGCCCACTCCGCTACGCTCCGTCCGACCCGAATTTGGAGGGCCTAAAAGTTTAAGGTGTTGCTGCGCAAAAGGGGTCGGACACAGGGCGCAGCTCATGCTAAGAGCTAGAAGGGGAGATGGAGAGAACAAGCACCCTGTCCCGTTATTGCGTACACGCCCAGCACCACAAAAGCTCTCTCTCTCCTGTCCTCACTCAGGGGGGTCACAACTACCGAGTCCCTCGACTAGCTGCCACGTTGCCGACCGAGAGCGGATCTCCTCCTACTCCGCAAGGAGGGTGGCCAAGGCTAAAGTCTTGCCGGAGCCGCCGGGCGCGTTGACGACTTGGAGAAGGTCGCCCTTGCACTTGTACTTGTAGAGATGCTCGAGGGGGTGCTTTGTGGGGCGGTGCGCAGCCAGGCCAGCAGTGAGGGGAGGCGCACCCTCACTCTCCTCGGTTGCAGAGCTCGGCAGTCCTCGGGCGAGCCGACGCGCATGTCCAACCAGCGCTGGGACTCGTTGTGACGGCAGACGCCGGCTGCCTCTCCAACCGCTTCTGCAGCGTCCTTCTTTGCCCGGTGCATGGGCTCGATCCGATTCCGCAGCGTGTCGTCCCCAGCGGCGGTGCTGCGCGGGACGCGGCCGCGGGCACGCTGGGCTCGATCAGCGGCTTTCCCTCAGTTGCTCCGAAAGCACGAAAGCACGGATTTGGCGGACGTTCTTGGCTTCAATTTTACGTAATGTGGCACCAGCTGAAGGCTTGCCCGGCGCACATCACGCAGTTCGTGCACGGTATTCGGATTTTGCTATTTGCTCGTGTGGGGGTATATTGCAGATTTGTCAATGGTACCGCGTCTGCGACGCGGGCGCCTTGCGAGCAGACAGAGCCCTTAAGGCTTAAGGACACCCTTTATATCTTGCGCGGTCAGGATGATCCCACCCTGCTAGCAGGTAGGGGATGAGAGGTCAGAGCTGTGCCGTGAAAAAGAAAAAACTTTTGTGGGGCACCAGCCTGAACTGGCGAATCGATTTCTGGTTCACGGCCTTGAAGAAAGAAAGAAAACAGAGAACGAAAGGGGGGATCACGGGTCAAGAAGCTCGATCTCCAATAGCAATACAGCAGTTTACACGAGGAAAGAGGACGGACGGAAACACCCCCCTTTTATGCCTGACCCTGGGCATGGCCTCTCTGGGGGTGAGCCGGGTCGGCCTCCTCCGGGTCTGCAACTCACACGGCGGGTCCGCATCCGGGCGAGCATCCGAGGCCCGCGGTTGTCCTTTCTCTGGGCGCGACCGCCATGGAGATCCGCTGCCCACAGATCAGTGCTTTGGTCGACTATTGCTCGCTCTCTGTGCACTCGCAACGCCAGAGGCCGTGCTTGGAGAATGCGTCGCAATGCTGCTGCGCCTGTGGATTGAGCCGCGGCGCAAGCTCCATCGGTGAGCTGCTGGGGACTATCATAGGCGCGAGGGGCGTGTGGCTGAGACTCGGCTCGTGAGCCCCGCAGACTCTCGCCTGAGGAGGGATTAGTTGCACGTCGCTCTCCCTGGCTGTACCAAGGCAGAGTGTTGTTTGATCGAGGTTGTCGGGGTCGACGCGTACGGGGAGCGCGACAGCACCGCGCTCGTCGTCTCCGTCCCCGCCGTCGCCCGCCGCCGCGCGTACCTTGGCTTGGTCACGGCCAGGTCCTCACCACGGGCTACCACATCGCACGCCCGAAGCGGCGAGACTAGCCGAGAGTCGCCGGGAGCCGCCGGGAGTCGCCGGGAGCCACCGAGTGCAACCACATCGCGCGCCCAACGGCGCGCGCCCCTCGTCCGGGGGGCTTTCACGCCATTCGTGTCACGCCCACGCACTTCCGTCTGAGGCGCGCGTCCCTCGAGCGCGGGCCCGGCTAATCCCCGGCTAATCCCCGGCGCATCTCGGGTCATCTCGGGTCATCTCGGGTCGCATTCCGGATGACGCAGGCACGCATACCTCGAGCGCGGTCCCGGCCACCACTGCTGTGTCCTCGCCTTCGATGACATGGTTGGTGGTCCGCAGGCCTGTGCCTCACTCCGAGATGCGCCGAGATGCGCCGGCAGTTGGGCCTCGAACCTTGATTGCCGTGCCCCGCTCTCGCCCGCCCCACCCCGCTGCAGAGCCGGCGCTCGCGTCCACTTGTCTACAACGGGTTTGGTGCCCACAACGGGTTTGCCGTCCCTCCCAGCCGCAGCCCGCTGGAGGGGACGGACTATGAGTGTGCGCTCGCTTTCTCGCTGCCAAGCACGGTCGCGAGGTGGTCAACAGCGACCCCGCGAGCCCCGCGAGGCGCGGCGGCGTCCGAGGGATGGGAGGAAGGCACGAAAACCTTGTAAAATTCTTTTCTTTGCGAGAAATGTTCTTGCTGCGCCGAGTGGCTCTCCCGCAATCGCCGCTCGTCTCGCCGCTGCGCGAGCGAGGGCGGTTACTCACGCGAGGCCTCGCCAAGAAAGCCAAGGACAAGGGGAAGGGGAAGGCAAAAACTGCGGCCGCGGTCGACCCGGAGCCGGACGGCGACGGGTCGGCGAGCGGGATCGACTTGGAGCGGCTCGAGGCGCAGCTGGAGAGGTCGGTCGGCATCCTGCAGCGCGAGTTCCTGGGGCTGCAGGCTGGGCGCGCGACGCCTGCGATGCTGGAGTCGCTCCAGCTCACGCTGGCGACGGGCGGCGCTCCGCTCTCTTCGGTGGCCAAAGTGCTCGCCCCGACGCCGCGCACGCTGCAGGTGTCGGTGTTCGACGCGGCGAACGTCGCCGCCGTCGTCAAGGGCATCGAGGCGTCGGAGCTGGGGCTGGCGCCGGAGGTGGTTGGCAAGGCGGTCAAGGTGGCGCTCCCGCGGCCAACGCAGGAGGCGCGAGAGGCGCTGCGGAAGGAGGTCAAGCGGGCGGCCGAGGAGGCGCGGCAGGCGCTTCGCGGCACGCGGCAAAAGGCGATGAAGAAGGCCAAGGCGCTGCCCTCGAAGGACGAGGTGAAGCGCGCGGAGAAGGACGTCGAGCGGCTCGTCGAGCGCTTCATGGCCAAGGTCGAGACGGAACTCGGGAAGAAGGAGGAGGATCTGATGACAATCTGAGTGTACTCGGAGTCGCTTCCCAGTGAGCCATGTTCATGTTCATGTGCAATAAGCTTGTATGTGATCAACCGCCCGCCACACACAACGAAGTCAAAGAGAAAAACGAAGGATCTCCACTCTCGTCTCTCCCGCCCCCCCGCGCCCCTCCCCCACGCCTCCCTCCGCGTTGACCCTTGTGGCTTGTGCCGTGCGACCTGGACCTCCCCCCTCCCGGCGCGCGCAGCCCGCGCACGCGCACACGGACACGGGCCGCGAGAGTTTTGTGTTTTCGAGACACGTCGCGCGTCGCGGCTCTCAGCGCGCTCGCTCCCTGGCACCCTGTGGGGCCTGGGGCGCTGTGTGCGCCCCGCTGGCTGTGCGGTTCGTTCGATAAGACTTGAGAGATGTAGGAACACAAGCGGTGTGTGCGCCACGACGTGACGTGGCGCTGTGAGTTGTCCCGCGTCGCACAGAGGCACAGTGTGACGCTGGCGGTGCGCGCCACCACCAGAGGCTAGAGCTCCTCGGCTGGCGCGTCGGCGGTCACCTCGAGCTCGCCAGAGTCGGCGATGAGAACCTCCTTGGACGTCTTGCCCGAGGGCGAGCCGACCCCCTCGACCTTCTTGACGATGTCCATACCCTCGAGCACCTGCGAGGGGCAGGGACCAGGAGAGGCCGGCTCACCTCTCGCAGCGCGACGCCCGGGCAGCGCTGCCACGCTGCCATGTGCCACAGGGACGGCGCCACGCTGCCATGTGCCACAGGGACGGGCGCGTGCGCGTGTGCGCGTGTGCGCGTGTGTGCGCCTTGCCAAAGACGACGTGCTTGCCGTCCAGCCACGCCGTCTTGACGGTGCAGATGAAGAACTGGGAGCCGTTGGTGCCCGGGCCGGCGTTGGCCATCGAGAGGATGCCCGGGCCGGTGTGCTTCAGCTTGAAGTTCTCGTCGGCAAACTTCTCGCCGTAAATCTGAGCACGGGACAGACGCCGGTCCGCAGTGGGCCGGGCGGAGCGGGGGGGTGGCGAGAGCGTCCAGCGTGGTGGTAGAGCGGGCGGGTGGCGAGCGTCCGGCGTGGCCGCAGGCTCACCGACTCGCCGCCGGTGCCGTCGCCACGCGTGAAGTCGCCGCCCTGCAGCATGAAGTTGGGGATCACGCGGTGGAACTTGGACCCCTTGAAGGCGAGCGGCTTGCCGCTCTTGCCCATCCCCTTCTCGCCGGTCGCGAGGGCGCGGACTGACGGCAGGGCGGCGGGGCGGGCGGGGCGTCATAAGCGCCACCGCGGCGGCAGAGAGGCGGGCATCCGGCGCACAGTTCTCGACAGTCTTGGGCACCGTCTTGCCGTACAGGCCCATCACGATCCGCCCAGCCGGCTCACCACCGATTGTGATGTCAAAGTACACTTTGTGCGTCACCTTTGGTCCAGACGAGGAGCCGGCGCCAAGGGCGAGGAGCGTGGAGAGAGCAGCCCACATTATAGCCTGCGTGCAGGCAGGCGCAGGGTGGGGAGTGGAGTCCAGGCGAGGGACAGTCGTTGCGCCGAGACATGGGGGGGCCTTCTGACTCAGCGCTGGGCAAAGAATTTTACTATGCTCACTACAGTGGGTTGCGGGCATTAAGAAAACAGGATTTCGCGGCACGCCGCCGTTTCTAAGCCTTTCCACAGCCCTCACCCACCCCACGCCGTGGTTTCTTAGCTCCGGCCGGCACTCAGGCCAGAGCCGGCCCCCTAAGGATTTTAGGTAAGAGGTAAGCTGAACCTCCTTTCCAAAGAGACCGCGGAAAAAACAATCAAGCTCTCCCTTGCTGGTTGCAATTCGGCACGGCCGGCCACACCGGCCTTTCGCCTCTCCAAGGGCGGCACCGCGTAGCACTGACTCACACAGACAGGGAACATGCCGTCGTCCAACGACTCGACAGCTTTCTCCACCGAGCGCCTACTGACGCTCAGCGTGCCGCACCTCACGCTGCTACTCTCTTCGCTTCTGGCTGTGTGCATCGGGACCACATACTTGACATGCGTCGGTGAACACGAGTGCCAAGTGTTCCTTCCAATGATCTCTGACACGTGGGTCTACCCACCGGGTACGTATCTGTCGCGCCTCACGCTCTCCATGGTCGCGGCCGGTCTCGGCGTCGTCTACTCCGCCTTCTACTACGCCCGGGTCGGCGCAGGCTCTCCCGCGCGCCTCCAGGCCGCTCTTCTCTCGGTCACTCACTTCTCCTGCGTCACCATGGGCGTGGTCGGGGCGGTGTGTGAGGACTCGAAGGTGCCATCTTGCGATGTTGGTCCCTTTGCGGGCATCCACAACATCGCCGCGATCCTTACATTCGGCATCGGGACCATCTACGCAGTGCAAGCCGTGTGCAGTCTGCCCAGAAAAGCGCCGCGTGTCGGACTCAGCCTGCTCGCCGTCGCTTCGCTCGTCTCGAAGGCGCGCTGGCTGCCCGGCAATCTGGCTCTCACGATCGACCGAAACCCGGCCGTGCCTCTGCTGGAATGGTCCGACGCTGCGGCTCTGATCCTCTTCTTCCCCATGTACGCTGCGGTGTGATCTGCCTTGTGGAAGGATTGCGCACAGTGCCACGCGGTGAGAAGAGTGCGACCTTCATGTCCAGGCCTGCTGCCCCGACTTCTCGTTCGGCTACCTTCGCAGCCACGGCCCGCTCCCCTTCTGCCAGGGCCCGCTCCCCTCCCTCTCCGGCCCCGCCGCCTCCACTCCGTCGCCGCTCGCCTCTTGGAGCGAAAAGGGGCTTGTCCGCATTGTGCAGCGAATGGTAGCTGTGACGGTGGGTGCTGCGAACATCCTGCGGCAGCCGCAGCGCGCTTCGATCGCCACATAGCCGTCGGTTGACTAGGTGTCGACAACGTTTCTCCTGTCTTGGGCCGACGGGACCATCCACCCTCGCTCGGCCGCCCCGCGGTCTCTTCGACGCACACGCGCGCCGTACCGCGTCCCCACATCTCCCGTGGCGCCTCCATAGGCTTGGCCTACGCTCTGCGACATGTGGGTGACTTGCTCACACCCGCTGGCCTTCTCCGCATGCCTCCCCCAAGTCCTCCCCTTGGCCATGAGCGCAGGTGAGCCCACCCTCCAACATCATCTCCCGCTACATGGTCTGCCTGGGCGCCCTGCTCGCTGCCGCATCGCAGCTGTCTCATCTTCTCCTCTCCAACGTCGCTCGCGCCCGCACCTTGCGTGGCTTCGGCCTCTACCTCAACGCGCTGCTGCATGCCATCTCTCTCGCCGGCTTGCGCGCCTCGAGTCCCAGTCATGGAAGGCGCGACTCTCACCCACCGTCCGTGCCGCGTAGGCCTCTTCGGCCTTGCCGTCGTTGGCGCGCCCTGTGCTGCGGCGAACGAGCGCGGGGGTGGAGTCCCGCCTCCAGTCACGCAACGTCACGCTGTATAACCAGGCGCCTGCAACGTCGACGAGGACTTTAATCTCCACTCGTTCGCCGCGAGTGCCTTTTTTGGGTGGGACGCCGCCCGCAGCCCGACGCCTACTTCCCGCTTCCTCTCTCATCGTCCCGGCTGCGTTAGGCTCCACCTCGTCTACTTTGTCCTTGATGCGATCTGGTCGGCGTCGAGCGCCAAGGCGTCGACGAACGCTTTTGCCGCTGCCGCTTGTCTCGCTGCCGCTGCTTCGATTGGCTCTCACGCGCTGGCCCCGCATTTGGTAGTCCAGCTCTCTGCGAATGGCACAGCTGAGTCGTTCGGTGCGATTTGCGAGTGGTTCGCGCTACTTTGCTTCACAGTCTTGCTGTCGACTTCGACGGACGCTTTCGACGGCCTCGGCTCGATCCACCTCGCCCTGAGCGGCCCCGGCACACCCACGCCGCCGGCGCGCATCCAAGTGGACATCAAGCAGCAGGAAGCCCTCGCCTCTGCGCTCCTGCTGAATGAAGACGGCTCAGGACTCTTGGTCGATCGCTGTGTCGCCGCCAGTTGCTGAAGCGACCTCCTTCTCCGAGCATGATGTTCCCTTCTCCATCACATGCGCATGCATGTGCATGTGCATGTGCATGTGCATGTGCATGTGCATGTCCATGTCCATGTCCGCATGTGCATGTGCATAGACCTACAGACACATGCACTGTTGTGCAGCACAGCTCTCATAGGCGATTCCTCGACGTTGACGTGCCTCGATCGCCATGAGTACATGTAATACCGGCGCGCTGCTGCGGATCGGTGTTGTTTTGAGAGTGTGTGTTGTGTGAGAGAGAGAGTCGTGTAGTACGTCGACTATCGTCCAGCTCCAGGGGGTACCCGAGCGCCGAGGTATGTACGTCAGAGACAAGACGCTGAGCACAATAGACAACCACACACGGGGTACAGAGCATCTCAACTTCGTTAAAAGGCGAAGCACTTTAGAGGAGCAAGGCATCTGAGAGCACACAGTATCTGTGTACTATATGCTATGACCTATGTGCTGGTAAACGCCTCATCCGTGGACGTGGCGTCAACGGCGCTGGCAAGTCGCAAGTCAACCGGGCCAGTGATCTCTTGCGCATCGAAGCGCGAGAAGGCAAACGACGTGGCGTCTGCAGCGGCCACCTCGTACATGGCGGCCTCGCCCTCGATTGCACCCTCAGCCATAGCAGCGGTGGTGAAGTGGCCCTCAGCTGGGTACTCGTCGACGTTGCCCCAGCGGGAAGCTGTCGAGGAGAACGACTGGCCGACAAGGCCATGCGGGAGGGACCGCGAGGCCGCGTTGTCCTTCGCGTGAAATGAGACGTCCAATCTGTGTAGAGGGCCGGAAATGTGGCCGTACACATGATTGCCACGGACATGAAGGCTCCATCGGGGCAGAGAAAAATAAGCACTCGCCATGTCGACCTGCGTAAGTGCAGGGACGGGCGTCGGACGGGGTGGGGCTGGGAGGTCGCTGCGCAATGCGCAAGGGGCACACCTCAATGGACAGCTCACCGCATTTCCGACGGCCGCCCGGGCCCAGCTTGAAGCGGGGACTCGTCGAAGCGTTGCCGCACGATCCGTTGACAATCCTCCACCTGAGCAAGCCCAAAGGCCGTAATCGAGAGACTTGAGCGCGCCAGTGTGCAGAGGGACGGAGCAGGGGGAGGGGGCGTTCACCCCCAATTGCTCGGTCCCAGCTCAGACGCCCAAAACGAGGCGCGTGCCAGCTGGCGATCGGTCCCAACGCGCGCTACCACGTGCACCTTTGGGGTGGCAGTGCAATTGGGTGAGTAGGGCGCCAAGGAAGCGCGGGCTGCTGAGCACACACCTCGGTGATGAAGCTTCCGTGCACGGTCAGGGTGTGCCCGAGCTTCCTGTGCATTTCGAACACGGCGTCCTCCGTCTTGACGTTGACAGCAAGATTGGGTGCGGAGAAAAAGCTGTAGTAGCGGCCGTCCTCGCCGCGGAAGTCTGCGCGGCCGCCGTGCGCAAAGTGAAGATGCCTGCGACAAGGAGAGAGGGTAGGAGCTAGGTAGGAGCGGGACGAGATGGCTCCCAGTCTCACGGCAGCGGGCATCTAGGGCCATTACGGATCTTTGTCGACTCCGCCCGGACCGGCCGGAGGCGGCGGCAAGAGAGGGGGTTGGGACGGGGGCGACGGAGGCGCTGTCACGGTGGTCACGGCCACCCCCTGTCCCGCGGGTTCGGTCACGTCCGCCGTGAGCTTAATCGCAACCGAGCCATCCGGGATACCAGCAACGACGACAGTCTCAAGCAAGCGGCGACTAGTGACAATCTCAAGTATGATTTCCAACGACTCTATTTGGTACACGGTGTTATTGATCTCGATGAAGTCCCCTGCAGTCAAGTTGTTGGGAATGCAATTGACAAAGATGACATTGGCGTGAGGAGCTGCCGTTGGGATGTCGGCCGCAAGCTTCATTTCATCTCCGTCACAAAAATTGGGTGGCGAAAGCGGCGGTGGAGGCGGCAGGGTTGGCGGCAATGGAGGCGGGGAGGGTGAGGTGGAGGGAGGCGGCGGGGAGGGCGAGGCGGAGGGAGGCGGCGGGGAGGGCGAGGCGGAGGGAGGCGGCGGGGAGGGCGAGGTGGAGGGAGGTGCCGATGGCGGAAGAGGAGACACAGAGGCATCGGGTCCTGAGGGAGGTGGGGAGGGTGGGGGTGGCAACGGCGGTGCCTCTGTAGGCTGGGAAGGCGGCGGCGGTGAAGGCGGCGGTGGATGAGGAGGAGGAGGATAGGGCGGCTGCGGAGGCGGTGGCGAGGGAGGCGGTGGTGATGGTGAATCTCTGACGCCGGGATCGCGGGGTGGCGACGGCGGCGCAGAGGGAGATGGCGATGGCAGTGGTGATGATGGAGGAGGCGGGGAGGGTGAGGTGGAGGGAGGCGGCGGGGAGGGCGAGGCGGAGGGAGGCGGCGGGGAGGGCGAGGCATCCGGAGGGTCTGAGGGAGGTGGGGACGGTGGGGGTGGCAACGGCGGCGCCTCTGTTGGCTGGGAAGGCGGCGGTGGTGAAGGCGGCGGTGGATGAGGAGGAGGAGGATAGGGGGGCTGCGGAGGGGGGGGGGAGGGCGGCGGCGGCGACGGCGGTGGTGGCGACGGCTCTGCAGCAACAGTCAGCGGAGCAACGACCAGGGCTAGGATGCCGGCGCGCATTGGGCGGGATGTTCCGACGGCGAGAGCCGGAGTTTAAAAGGGGAACGAAAGGTTTCCCGCCGGTTCGAAATTTGCTCAAGGTGTGAATCCCAGGGCCTCCAGGGCTCGCACCTCAACCGGCAATTCAATAAATGCGGGCACAACGTCTTCTTTCGCAAGTAAGGAAGATGCAAACTTGCAAAGAGAGTGCCCTGGCGCGAGCCAAAGAGAGAGGAAAGAGGAAGGGCTCGGGCCTGGGTTTGTTCCCGGGCCAAGTGGATTATTACAGAGGGTTTGAAGAAGTGTCACGCCAAGTTTGCTCTTCGTTGAGCCCGCTGCCGCGCTGCCCCCTACGCTATCGGCACGTTGAACATGCCAGCCACCTACTCGCCTCTCCGTCTCAAGAGCATGCCGCCGCTTCGGCTGTGGCCGGACGACCCACCGGCCGACGTCTACTTTGACTCCGTCTCGGCGAGCATCAACAATGTGGGGCCCCGCGACTATGCGCGTCGAAAGCGCCAGCTAAAGGACCCGCAGTTGACGCCCTTTCTCGTGCCGCAGCCGATGCGCGCCCGGCTCGGGCTGGGCCCAGACGTGGAGCTTCCACTGGTGCTAGTGTTCCCGGGTGGTGGCTACGTCAGCCTCACAGTCCAGGCCGAGGGCAGGCGAGCCTGCAACTGGCTCAACCTCGCCGGAGTCCACTGCGTTGTTGTCGAGTACCGCACGATGCGCCGCCACCCAGCGCCGCTGCTTGATGCACGGCGCGCTGTGCAGCTGGTACGGCTGCACGCGGCCGCGTGGCGCGTCGCGCCAAGGATCGGCGTGCTTGGCTTTAGCGCTGGCGGGCACGTCGCTGGGCATGTGAGCCTTGCGTGGGACGCCGCCGAGGGCGGGGAGGTCGACAAGCTGTTGAGCGCCAAGGGCGACCGCGCGGCGGCGTTCTCCGCGCGGCCCGACGCCGCAATCCTTGCCTACCCGCTGGTCAGTGCGCACAATGACACAGTCGATTGCGCGGTCGGACGCCACCCCTTCTGCAAGTGCTCCACCTATGCCTGCGTCGGCGAGGCTGCGCGCGGCCAGCCGAGACCGCTCCGCCACCATGGCTCCTTCGCGGTGCTGCTTGGACCCGATCTAGGCAAGTCGTTGCCGCGCACGGCCGAGGACGACGTCTCCCTCGATGATCTCGCGCTGCGCCGGCCGGCCTCGTCGCCGCCCCCGCCCTTCTTCTTGTGGCACACTGAGAGTGACGACATCGTGCCGTTCCAAAACACCGAGCGGCTGGCGGCTGCGCTCCGCTCGCGCGGGGGCGCGGTCGAGGCGCACATCTTCCGCGGCGCAGGGCTCAAGCACGGGCTTGGCCTTGCGATGAAGTTTACGGGGCGCGACATTGGCAACTGGACCGGGTTGTGCGAGGCGTGGGCTGGCGCCAACTGGCAGCCGCATGGCCGTGCTTGGTCAAGGGGCTAGATGGGACTGAGGTTCGCTACCATGGGGTGTGCGGGCTGTGTGAGGATAGCGGAATGTAGGAGCGTCAGAGCGACTTTCCCGCACGTGCACGGAGGGCCGTGGCGCAGGTAGATCGCAGGTAGAGAGGTAGGGCTGGACTTGGAGGGGAGAGGTAAAGGTAAACTCATCTGAAGCCGGAGTCGAGGTAAAGAAAAGGAGCGCTCCAGATGAGATCAGCAGGAGGATGTACAAAGAGATTAGGAGCAGCAGGGACCCGAGGGACCATGTGGAAGGGTCCGAGAGACTTACTCCGAGATACGGCTCTATCGGCTCTATTAGAGAGAGTTCTCCCCCTGGCTAGTCACGACCAGCAACCCACAAAGAACCCTGCACAAAGAACGCACCGGGATTCCTTTTTACCATCTCCTAGTAGAGGTGTCCGTTTTATTTATTTATTTCCCCAGCGTCCCGGCCGGGTATAAGCCCGCGGGCGCGCGGGGGCCGCGGGGATCGGGGCGCCGCGCGGGCATGGCCGCTGGGGGCGGTGTCAGTAATGGCTATCCTAAAATGGGGCCGCTTAAAAGAAAGAAAACAGACAACCCAAGGGAGGGATGGGAGGACGGCACGCCGCCACCACGATACACAGGGATTTTACTGCGTATAGCGTAAGGAGAGGTGTGTGGTGCGCTAGCCGTCGCCCACCCTAGGGAGTCTGCCTCTTCCTATCTCTCTTCGCAGTCATGGGGCCGCTTCGAAACGCCGAAAAGGGGCCGGGACTTCTCTCAGAGAGAGGCGAAGGAGAGACGACTCAGAAGACACGGCTCTCTAAACAAGTAGACGGAAGCGTAACGCTACAACGCACGCGTGGCCAAGACGCGGCACATGACGGGTAACACAACAGGTACTCACCTTAAAATGTGGGGGGGGACGGGTGGACGGCTGGACGTGTCGCGTGTCTTCCACCCTCGGGCACATGCTTTGTCCCCATCCATCCCGCGGACTAGCGCGCTCTCCACCTGTTCGCGCCGTCAGTGGAGCCGTCTGCTGAGGGTTGCTGCTCCCCGCGACTCCTGCCGCTCTCGCCGCCGAATGTCTCGCCAACGCTACTGCTGCTGCCGCCGCCGCCACCACCGCCACCGCCGCTGCTGCCGACCTCGACGACGCCCTTCTCCCCGTCGCTGTCGCCCCGATCTCCGGTGGCGAGCCCAACGGCCGCCCTGAGCCGCTCCTCAACCGAGAAGACGGGACGCACGCCGCTGGCGACGCGGAGCACGTCGCAGAGCGGCTGCGTGCCCATCGTGTAGTGCACGCCATAGGCGAGCGAGTGCAGCGGCCGCTCCTTTGGTCTGCGCGTGCCGGCGGGCAGCGCCGCCGCGTCGAGGAGGCGCTCTGTCGCCGCCTGGGAGATATGGGGAGATATGGGGAGATATGGGGAGATATGGGGAGATATGGGGAGATATGGGGAGCATGGGGAGGCGCTCTGTCGCCGCCTGGGAGAGCGCGCGAGCAGCGAGCGAAACAGGGGGGCGGGTAGAGGTGTGCCTGCTGCTCCGACTCTCCGGCAGTGTCTCGGCAGTGTCTCGGCAGTGTCTCGGCAGTGTCTAGGAGGAGGTGTCTAGGAGGTGTCTCGGCAGTGTCTAGGGAGCGCCTCCCACGAGAGGGCGTACTGCTCCATCTTGGTCATCGCGGCGGGTGGAGTCGCGAGCGCCTCGCTGATGAGGGAGCCGAGCTGCGCCGGGTCGTCGTAGAGGATGGCGTTTGAGAACTGCTTGAAGAAGAGGTTGGACGGGTGGTCCGGGATGAGCACCTGCGGCCGGTGGGATGGCGAGATGGGGTGTGTGTGTGTGGGGGGGGGGGGGTGGGGGGGGGGGGGGCGCCTTCTTGCCCATGGCGAGCGCCTCGGCGGTGGCGGTGCAGAGCACGTCCGACGTCGACGGGTTGACGAAGAGCGAGTAGCCGTGCATCGACGGGTGGGCGTGGTCGATGCCCTCGTGCGTCACCACGTCGACGCCGAGCCGCTCCACCTCGGACCGGATCGCAGCCTCGTCGGGGCCCGAGCCGAACGTGTGCAGCGGGGGCAGGGGCGCGTCGCCGCCGGCCGGGCCGTGCGCGGCGAGCGCGTCGAGAAGCTCGCGGTAGCCCTTCGTCCAGAGGGCCTTGCCGAGGAAGTAGGCGCCGCGGTCGAAGAAGCTGCCGGCGTTGCGCGCCGCCTGCGCGCCGACGGCAAGGAACTCGCCTGCGGGACGTGTCGTGGACGTGTCGTGGACGCGTCACGGACGTGTACAGGGCCCGCCGCCTGCGCGCGAGGAGGAGGGTGCGAGGAGGAGGGTGCGCCTCGCACGCCGTGGACGTTGCAGACGAGGTTGTGGCCGGGCACGTCGACGAGGGTCGGGGAGAGCTTGACGACCACGTCCGTGTAGGCGGCGCAGACCACCGCGTTGAGGAGCTCCATCCACCTCTCCTTGAGCTGGCCCTCGAGGCCCGGGTACTGCAGCCGGCTGTACTGCAGGTAGTTTGTGTGCGCGACGCCGACGACGTGCCGGTAGAGCTCCGGCCAGCGGGAGCCGTGGTGGTACCAGTTGAGGTGCTCCGGCTCCTACTCGCACACACCTCCAGGGCGTGTCGGGGACGGGCCCTCGGCACGGCGGCGCGAGGGCTCCCGCTCCTCGAGGATGGCGACGTCCCGCTCCTCTCTCTTCTCTTCTCGTCTCGTCTCGTCTCTTCTCTTCTCGTCTCGTCTCGTCTCTTTCTTCTCTTCGCTTCGCTCCTCGAGGATGGCGACGTCCCGCTCCTCTCTCGTCTCGTCTCGTCTCTTCTCGTCTCTTCTCGTCTCGTCTCGTCTCTTTCTTCTCTTCGCTCCTCGAGGATGGCGACGTCCCGCTCCTCTCTCGTCTCGTCTCGTCTCTTCTCTTCTCGTCTCGTCTCGTCTCTTTCTTCTCTTCTCTTCGCTCCTCGAGGATGGCGACGTCCCGCTCCTCGGGCGGCACCAGAGCCGCGAGGTCGATCTTGCCGCTTTGGATGATGCCGCCGATCCCCGGCTCGTAGTTTGCGGGGTACCAGCGTATGCGCAGCGACGGCGGCGGCTCGACGTTTGCCCGGTTCGAGAGCCACCACCTCGAGTACGCCTCCTGCTGCGCCGGCTTGTCGAAGGCGAGGCCGCGCCTGCTCGGGGAGACTGCTGCTCACAACAGCTGGGGCTACACCAGCAGGGAGAGGAGGAGCTTGGCCCCAGCTTCGGCCGCCTCTCGGCCGCCTCTCGGCCGCCTCTCGGCTACATCTCACGGGAAGAGCAGCAGCTGGTCCTGCTTTGGCAGCCACGGCACGTAGAGCGTCACCGGGTAGCCCTTGGCCGCCAGGTAGGCGGCCCGCAGGAGCGGGTTGACCGCCGTGCCAGTCATCCAAGGGAGCGCCGCCTGCACACCTCGGGCGGACCGAGGCTCAGCTCTCGGCGACTCTCTCGGCGACTCTCTCGGCTAGTTGCTGCCGTGGTCAGGATAGCCAGCCGCCGCCCGCCGGAGCGCAAGTCCGAGTCTGGCGTCGGCCGGAGCACGTCGCCTTGTGCCGCGGCGAGCCGCACTCCGAGCGGGTCCTGAGAAAACAAGCAGCGGGTCACGGATGTGCGGTCCGCCGTTGACACGGGGAGCCGGGGGGCGGGCGGGGTCCTTGAGCTTCGCGTAGTCCTTGGCCGGGGCCTTGGTCGGCTGGTCGCTCTCGCCAGAGGGTGAGGACGCGCGCCGGCGGGCCCTGCGCACGAGAGGCATATGTTGTATTATATTATATTATATTATATATATTATGTTATATTGCCTGCGCACGAGAGGCAGCGTCCCTCCCTCGAAGATCGTGTCGGCGACGTAGGCCCGCACGCTCGCGAGCGTGCGCAGCTTGGGCAGCTCCTGTCATTCATGAGAGAGGAGCTCAATGAAGGGAGCGTTGTGAATGAGCGGCCAGCTTAGGGCAGCTCCTGCGGCAAGTACTCGAGCCGCGCGGCGGTGACGGCCCAGCGCGCCTTGAAGTCGCTCAAATCAGCCTCGAGGTCCTCCTCGATGGACCTGACAGCAACAGCCTCTCCCTGAGGACACGCGCCGCGCACCAGCCCCCGCCCGCGCGACGCACCGGATGTTGTCCTGCGTCTCCGCGAGGTACTTTGCGAGCCCTCCGCCGCCGCCGCGGGCCGCCCACGCCGTCAGGTTGAAGGCGGTCACGTTCGCCCCTCCGCCGCGCCGCCCCTCGCCCCGCCCTTGCCTGTGCCGGGGACGGCGAGCGCTGAGGGAAAGGGACGCCCGCCAAGCGCGCGCTGCCCCGAGCCGCTGCACGAACTGCCACCTCTCTGCCACCTCTCTGCCACCTCTCTGCCAGCTCTCTGCCAGCTCTCTGCCAGCTCTCTGCCAGCTCTCTGCCACCTCTCTGCCAGCTCTCTGCCACCTCTCTGCCACCTCTCTGCCAGCTCTCTGCCAGCTCTCTGCCAGCTCTCTGCCACCTCTCTGCCAGCTCTCTGCTAGGTCTCTGCCACCTCTCTGCCACCTCTCTGCCAGCTCTCTGCCACCTCTCTGCCACCTCTCTGCCACCTCTCTGCCAGCTCTCTGCCAGCTCTCTGCTAGGTCTCGCCCGATCCACTGCGCGTTGAACGTCTCCGTCGCGCGCCTCACCTCGCTCCGCTGCGCCTCGATTGCGTCCTCGACGTCCCGCACCTACGCCCCAACCACCACACGCGCGGTCACACGCGCGCTATCCGCCTCGCCCTCCTCCACGCTCGCCACCGCACCGCCAGCTCCACGTCAGCGCGTGCGTCCGCAATCAGCGCGTCCACCTCCTCCTCCCACTCGGACCTGTTCCCAACCAGCTCGCGACTCATGCTCACGGCGAGCGGCGAGCCTGCCTCGCCCCTTCGACTCGGACCGCAGCTCGCGCAAGCCGCGCTCGACGCGGCGGCCGCCCGCCACGACGCCCGAGATGGTCACCTCCGAGGTTCACAGTTCAGTATCAATGCTTGGCCGTTCCTCTTCAGGCCCGCCACGACGCCCGAGATGGTCAATGTCGGAGGGGATGTCTTGATGAATGTCAACATTTAATGATTCGTATGAGTGAGAGATGGTCGCCTCAATGTCGGAGAGGATGTCTTCCCGCAGCTCGCCTGCGCACTCACTCTCACCCGGTGACGAGCCGCCAAGCGAGCGGAGGCCCTGGCCGACCCTCATCTCGACTGGATCTCGGCTAGATCTCGGCTAGATCTCGCCGAGCGAGTCGAGGATCTCCTCGCGCCGCCGCGAGTACTTGTCCTTTCTCTGGCGCGCCTGTCGGTTGGGGCGGCCGGGCCTCGGGCAAGGGGGAGCAGGGGCGGGGGCGGGGGCAGGCGGCAGGCGGTGGCGCCTGGTCCGCCTGCGTCTCAACTTCGTCGAGGACCTGCCGCCGCCGGGGAGGGGAGGGGGAGGGGTGGGGGGGGGGGTACGGGGAGGGGGAGGGGCAGCAGCCTCTCCCCACTCCACCAATAGCCCCTCGGCAGAAGCTTCTCTGCAAGGGCGGTGCAGCGGCGAGGGGGGAGAGGTGCGGCAAGGGCGCCTCGTCGCGAAACGTGCGGAGCGACGACGTGAGCCGCGAGTTGAGCCGCGACCGCCTCTCGTCGATCGCCGCCTGTACCTCCTCTGCTATGTCCTCAACAAGCGACAGGCCGCCGCCGCCGCCGCCGCCGCCGCCACCACTACTTCCTCCCGCCGCGTTATCCCTGCCGCGCACGTTGATCTCCACGGTGTCATGATCGGCCCCGGCGTCGGAAGCGCATAAATCACGCTGCGACTCCACTCTCCCACCCTCCTCCATCCCCTCCTCGGCCGGCGCAGCTGCAGCCTCAAGCGCCTTGGCCTCGACAATGTCAGCCTCCTCGCTACTTCTCGCCGCCCGGCGCTCATGTACTGGCTGTCGGCGGAAGCGGCGGCGGATCCGACCCCAGAGCATGCCCTTCGGCTGCTCTCGCTCGCCCGATGGTCGTGGTTCAGCAGCTGCCACGGTCACCAAGGTCTCGGCGCCGTCCTCCTCGGGAGCATCGCCGAGGAGCGGCGGGCGCGTTGGCCGCGCGCGGTGTGCTGGCAGCCATGCACGACCGGCGAGGCCAGGTGGCTGCCGAGGCGCGAAGGCCAAGCAAACGACGAGCATTCGACTCGCGGCACCCACCTCAATCGGCGAGCGAGCTCGGCTGTAGCAAAAAAGAAAAATGCACCCAGCCGAGGAAGAGGCATCAGAAACGACTGCAGAGGCAGTCTGGTAACGCCCGGAAGGCGAGCAAGGGATCGGGACGAGCCGAGGGCTCGCCCCGACGGGCGGAGGAAGGGACTGTGCTCTGTGGGACCGGAGTCGGGCGGGCGCACATGAGGCGTATCCGTGTACGTGCGTGGAGTGCAGTGTTGTGTGTCCGTTAGCTCCGAGTAGAGGGGGCGTTCTGCAGTTAAGGGGAAACCCGGTACACGGAACTAACCCTCGGAGACCCGTGTTTACTTTACGGCCCTCGTTTTTCCCTGGCCCTGCGAACGCGCACCCCGCACCCCCGGGGCTAGGGCTCTCTTGCCCGCAACCCGATACCGGTCATCTGGCCCGCTGGGTGCGCTTCTCAGCTCCCCGGCCCTGGATGTGAGGCTGATGACTGCACTCCAAAGTGTGTTCATTCACGAGAAAACCAAGCATAGCTTGAGACAGCATTCTCTTCGACCATTGAGCATTGTGCATCCGGATCCGGCATCCGCGCGCCCGGTGTGGGGGCTGGGGGGGAGCTTCAAGGGGGCTGCAGACAGCCGGGGAGGCAGTCCTTTTCGAAAGCTCCAAAAATCAAGTAGCGTCCACCGCGTGGCCCATCGCGAGCACAGCTCGCTCGAGCGCCGCGAGCCTCTCCCCGATCGGAGCGAGCGCCGCCTCGAAGCGGGCGGCCAGACGCGCCTCCATCGCGACCAGCAGCGCCTCTAGGACGGCCGCCTCGCCGTCGAGCGCCGCGTCCGAGGCGGCTCCGCGGGGTGAAGCGGCTGGCTGCACTAGTGGCTGCACGGTGCTCACGGCGGGCCTCGCATGCTGCGCGCCTTGCGGCGGTGTGGGCGCGAGAGCCGCGGCGTCGAGGCCCGTCGGGAGGTCCGCGCGGCAGAGCGCGAGGCGGTGCTCCGCCTACTCATTCACGGCTGCCCGAGATGACGCGAGATCACCCGAGCCTGCAGGGCGCGCAACGCGGAGCTCCGCCACGGCAGGCGCGAAGAACGCGGAGGAGGCGGCGCGGCGGCCGGCGAGCGCCCAGAGGCCGCGCAGCAGCGGGTGGCCAGCGGGGCGGAGGGCGATGCCGCGCAGGGTGAGCCCGTCCGCGAGGGAGAGGGAGCGGAGCAGGCGCAGGATTGGTACCTGAGCAGGCGAGGGCGAGGGTGAGGGTGGGGGCAGGGCAGGAGGAGAGCTTACGTGCAGCGGCGCAACCCCTTCGGAGGGGGCGGCGGAGAGGAGGAGGACCGTCGCCGCAGCGCTCGAGCCGACCGCCACTGTGGAGGAGGCGTGGCAGCCCGCGAGGCAGTCAGGGTGGCGCAGCCCGGCAGTCCGCACCGGCGACGCAGCTCCACCCGCCCCTCCTCTCTCCGGGCAGAGAGCGGACCCGCCCCTCCTCCCGACCGCAAAGCAGGCGAGAAGCCCGTCCTCGGCGGCATCCGCCCGCGGCTCGGCCGGCCCCGGCGGTGCGGCTCTCTGCGGTGCGGCTGCTGGGCCCGCTGCGGGGGGCGCGCAAGCGGCACCGGCGGAGCAGCACGCGGCGAGGACGCGCGCGCTCTCCGGGGCGTGGGAGGCGATGTCGAGGAGAGCGGAGAGAGGCGTTGGAGTCGCGTCAGCCAGCCGACCGCGCAAGTCGACCACGAGGGAGGCCTTCCCGCCCCCCTCCTCCCCGCCCCCCTCCTCCCCGCCCCCCTCCTCCCCGCCCCCCTCCTCCCCGCCCCCCTCCTCCCCGCCCCCCTCCTCCCCGGCCGGCGCCTCGTCTGCCCGGGAGGAGGAGCCGCCGGCGGAGGAGGAGCAAGCCGGGGGAGAGCTCTCGCCGCCGCCTCGGCCAGCCTGGCTGGTCGGCTCTCTCCCTGCCTGGCCGGCGCCCAGTCCGACGGCGACGGGAGGGGCTGCGCCGACCACCAGCATGCCGTGTGCGGCGAAGCAGAGCCCCAGCGCACGGTGCGGAGCCGAGGCTGGGCCGAGGCGGAGGCGCCTGTCACACGCGCCACGGCTGGTTGCAGCAAGTGCGATAGGAACCGAGGCCGTGTGATGTGGCCCGAGGCGTGGCTGAGGAGGCGCCGGGTCGCGAATCGCTCCCAGTCACCCGGCAGCGGCCAGCTGAAGAGGAGCGCCTGCGAGAAGGGTCCTGGAAGGTTCCGGAAAGGCTCGTGGAAGAGGAGCGCCCAGCTGGAGAGGAGCGCCTCCTGCGCAGCGGCGGCGGGAGACGAGTCAGGTCCAGGAGACGAGTCGGGAGAGGCCGGTGCGGACGTGACGGCGCGGAAGGCGGTGCGGGGGGTGTGCGGGCAGGAGTGTGCGGGCAGGAGTGTGCGGAGGAGGAGGATGCCGTCTCGAGAGCGACTGCGAGGCTCTCTGACGCCGCCGAGGCATCCGGCGAGGCACTGCTCCACTCGGTGCACCCATCACCACCTTGCGGCCAGGCGCTGCCGCTCCACGCGACGCCGCGCAGCGCCTCGCCCCCTCGAGGCCGCTCGAGAAGGAGGACGGGCTCGGCGAGTCCCTCCTCGTCCAGCGAGTGCAGCACGAGGCAGGAAGGGGAGGCGGCGGCCAGGGCGGGGAGCGCCGAGTGCCAGGAGAGGCCGCGGCTCGCGCCGTCCATCGGCGTGCTCGCGAGGAGCTGGGCGGAGGGCGCGCTGCGTTTGCCGCCCGCGTCCTCCGGCGCGGCCTCTGGCTGCTGCGGAAGCCTCCAGAACTCGACGCTGTGGCGGCTGGAGCCAGCGACCGCGCGTGAGAGGGCGACGAGGCCTTCAGACACCGGGCATGCGGCAAGCGTGGTCACCGAGCTGGGCTCCTCCGCATCCGGTAGAGCCACCTCGACCGGGCAAGGCGCGGTGGCCTCATGGTTGACCGAAGATGCAGAGGCGACACAGAGCGCTCGGCTGCCAGAGGGCAGGACGAGGCACGGACCGGCGTCGGCTGCGGCCGAGAGCAGCCACGGCTGGCTTAGGGCGTTGCTGCCCACCCGGACGTCCGCCGAGGGAACTTGCACGGCGTCAAAGCAGCTTCGGTCAGCCCTCCCACCTTCGGCAGAGAGAGGCATCTCGGGCTGCGAAGAGGCGCGGCCAACAGCGTCGGCAGCGGCAGGCAGGTGGCGAAAGACCCGCGCACCTCGAAAGAAACCCGCCAAGGAAACGGAGCCGGCTTTAGTACTTAGAGAAGCTGCCGGCGGTGGCGCCGCTGTCGTCGCGCTCATCCGCGCACGCCGCCGCACATGGAAGACGTGGCAACGCTACGTCGACGCCATGTCGCTCAACGGCCGACGAGGTGGCCTCGCTGCGGCTCTGCGCTGGCTACCGCTATTCATCGGAGAAGTCGTCGAAGATGGCGAACGTCGTGGGCATCGCGTGCTTGTTGCTGATGGTGTTCGAGTCGAGGATCGTGAGAATGCCGTCGAAGGCGACGAGCTTGCGTAGTGTCGAGTGCAGGATCAGCTCGCGGCCGACGGCGATGGCACACCTCTCTGCCCGCCCACGCGCGTCGTCGCCCGTGAGACGAGCCAGCGCAGTGGTGCCGCCGATGGTCTTGTGGAGCATCTGGCAGCCCGCGTAGCCAGCGCAGAGCTGCAGCGAGGCCACCTCGTCGGCTTCGTTGAGCGACATGGCGTCGACGTAGCGTTGCCACAGTCCATGTGCGGCGGCGTGCGCGGATGAGCGCGACGACAGCGGCGCCGGCGGCCAGGTCGGTGCGACTGGCGGCAGCGCGTCAGCACGCTCGATCGTGACGAGGAGGATGGACGCGAGAACCTCGCCGAGGCTCGTGAGACCGAGGCCTGCTGCATCCGTGCAGCCAGGAGCAGGCCCGTCTACTAGGGCCAGCGCGAGCACGTCCGCAGACTCGTGCAGGCGGGGCGGCCACTCCGAGTCAACGCTTAGCGTCAACGTTTCGAAGGCAGAGAGGAGCGGCTGGTCCGCCCGCAGCGCCTCTGCGGAGGCCGTTGCGAAAGCGCTGCAGCCGACGTGTGGAGGGGTGAGAATCTCGTTGACAAGATCGGAGAGCCGAGGGGCTGGCATGGCCCGGAGGCGGAATGGCGGCAGATGGAGAAAAAAGAATCGCGACGCCGCCCAAATCGCAGAGTGGACCCCGTCTCGTTGACAAGAACGCGCTGTCCGCGCGCGGCAGCGGGCCCTCGCGCCAGTCGCGCTCGCCGTCGCCCGACTCTCCGCCCGCCAAGCGGGCCGCCTCCGCTGACTCGTCCGGCTATGAAACCGATACGCCGGACGAGGTGCAGCAGGAGGCGGTCCGCAGGGTATGCGGCGCGCTCGGCATGAGGGAGCAGTTTGAGGCGGCGATGGCGGCGGGCGAGCTGCTCGAGATGCTCGAGAGCTTGCCGCGAGGGGCGGTCGAGGCCTCTGTCCGACAGATGCGGGGTTACAACCGCACGGGCGAGTGGCCAGAGCCCATTCTCACCAGCCCTGCCCCGCAGCGCGGCCGCTCGCCAAGCCCCGTCGATGAGTGGTCAGATGGTTAGTGCCCGAGAGCGAGGGGTCCGGGGGGGAGCACAAACATAGGACGCCCAGCCTTGCCCTCGTGCCGCCGAGTGCATATCCTATGCGAGAGAGATCCCCTGTGCCCTGTGCCCAGCCCTCTCCGCGCGGCGATGCGCCCTCCCCCCTCGCTTTTGCAAAATCCTGCAAAGGTGGGGACGTGTCTGTCCTCGACCCAGCCCTAGCTTGGGATGTCCGTTGTATTTATTTATTTATGGACAGTCAGACAGTCAGACAACGGACGTACGGACACATGTGTAAGAGCGCGCACGAGTGGGTGTGCGAGCAATATCGAAAGACAGTGAGGCCAGGATCGCACACGGCAGGGGTGGCGGGACGGTTGTGGAGCGAAGTGGCAGTAGCCAGTCTCAAGCATCGATGGGATAATAAGATGAGATTACCGGACGAGAACGGGGGGAAGGACAGGCGGGCGACATTTGACGACGTCGGGGATCACAATGTGACGACCAAAACGATCTTGGGGGCCAGGGTGAGACAACAGGTCGGGGTGCCACACGGGGCACACCACAGGCGTATTCTAGAGGGGGAAAAGAAACGGGGAATGAGGGGCCCCGCCACGAGAAGTGCGTTCTGGGGATGCAGAGCGTGCAAGGCGGCTAGGGATGAGGCCACAAAAGAGGCGCGCGAGGCAAGGAGGAGACGCGGGGAACTGACAGACTGGGACGACTGGAAACAAGAAGACAGTGAGCCACCACAGGCGTCGTTGGCGCACATACTGAGCGGCAGCTGCGCTGGAAATAAGGAAGAGGCGCGTCACTTCATGCGGAAGCTCGACAAACACACAGCGAGGGCGACAGCAAGAGTTGAACGGGAGGCGCCGGACTCAAAAGACACCGCCACATTCCTGAGACGAGCGAGGGCAGCCTCCTTAAAGGCGAAAGGGTCTAGATTTGGAGCGCTCGCCGAAGAGGAGTACGACAAAATAGCGCCCGTGATTGCCTGCACGCTGCCCGCACTCACGGACTCCATACCCGAAAGAAAGAGAAGGGAGCTCGCGGGAGAGGTGACGAGTGAACTACAGGTAGTGGGGAAGGCAGCCTCGATTGCCATACAGACATGGGTGCGAAACAACGACAAGACCAAGGCACGGGCAGAGGAACGAGAGAAGAATATAGGGTGGATAAAGCGCCTGTTCACGGCATGGAGGGTGAGCCACACCGAACGTACCGAGCGAAGAGCCGAGCGGAAGGAGGACGGGGAAGATGACTCCGAGGAGGACGAACCAGTGGAAATCCAGTTGTCAGATGTCACGATGCATCCGAAGGGGACCCCAGCGCCGGCATCATCCGTAGAGGCACAAGTGTTCGAAGAGAGAGTGGACCTGAGCAACAACATGACCTGTAGGCAAATGATCGGAGTGGGAGTCAGAAACGTGGTCCTTGCGCGAGGGGAGCTCGATAAACTCGAGGGGCCAGGATACGCCGCGAGGAGGACGGAGTTGCGCCGAAAGGCGAAAGAAGCCGCGAGAACAAGGGACCGGCAGGCGGCGGCGTCACAGGACGAGGCAGAAGGGAACGACGCGACAGAGGAGGAAATGACAAGGGAGAGAACGACGAGAGTGGGACGACCGCGAGGTGGCATGAAGGTTGCAGCGAGAGTCGGAGAGAGACTGCGAAGAGAGATAGGAAGAGGCAGACTCCCTAGGGTGGGCGACGGCTAGCGCACCACACACCTCTCCTTAAAATCCCTGTGTGGTGGCGGCGTGCCGTCCTCCCATCCCTCCCTTGGGTTGTCTGTTTTCTTACTTTCTTTTGGACAGTCAGACACATGCAATTCACGTTCTCACATGACAAGCGATCCGAGTGAGTGAGTGAGTGAGTGTGAGTCACGACAGCGTCGGTGGGAGATACGTGAAGGGGAGTGCGATTTCGGGCCTGGGGTTGTGCGTTTACGTGGGAGTGGGAAAACCGCGGTTTTCTTCTTCTGGAGGCCCCTCTCCGCAGAGTGCAGGAGCCAGCGCCGCCGGCGCACCCTCCAAGATGCGCAGTAGTCTCGTCTTGACGGCGACGGCGCTCACCTGTGCCTCCGGCTTCTTCGGCCCGGCCACCGTCGCTGACCGAGCTGCCCGCAGCCAGCCTCGCCTTTGCAGCAGCACTGCAGCCTCCCTGCCGTCGAGGGCGGCGCTGTACTCACTCCTGCACCTCAACGGTTTCCCCGGGGACACCGACTTCTACCGCAGGGAGTGCGCCGGCGCGGCGCGCGTCCTTGAGCTCGGCGCTGGCGATGGCCGCATCGGCGCGGCGCTCCTCGCCTCGCCCGAGGTGCTCTCTCTCTCCGTCTCTCCCACCTCCCTCCTCTCCCTCTCCCTCTCCCTCTCCCACTCCCACTCCCTCTCCCTCTCCCTCTCCCTCTCCCTCTCCCTCTCCCTCTCCCTCTCCCTCTCCCTCTCTCTCTCTCTCTCTCTCTCTCTCTCTCTCTCTCTCTCCCTCTCCCTCTCCCTCTCCCTCTCCCTCTCTCTCTCTCTCTCTCTCTCTCTCTCTCTCTCTCTCTCTCTCTCTCTCTCTCTCCTCCCGCCCCCTCCCCTCACCCCGTCGGCCTGCCCGCACAGAGCCAGCCACACTACACCGGCGTGGAGCTCGACGACGAGCTCGCTGCTGCCGCGCGCGAGCGGCTGAGCGAGCACGCCGGCGCTCGCGTCCTGACGTGCGACATGCTCTCTCCCGGTGCTGCGGGAGGGGGAGGGGGCGGCGGGGAGGGCTCCGGCGGCGGGGAGGCCTTCGATGCGGTGCTGCTGACGGCGAATACTCTCTTCTGCACGCCGCGGCACGCCGAGAGCTGCTCGCGCCACCGTCTCGGAACCTTCTCGGAACCTTCTCGGAGCCTTCTCGGAGCCTTCCCGCAGGCACGCGGAGCTGCTCGAGCGATGCGCCGGGGCGCTGCGGCCGGGCGAGCTGCGCCTGGCGCCCCCGCCTGCGTTGGTGGCGGGCTGTGCATTCACACCGCGCCGCTGAGGGCAGGCGGCGCGCTGCTTTTCGACGTCTACAACGCGCGCGACTGGCGCAAAGACGCGCTTGTACGGCTGCCTTGCCTGACCCTTCTCGGACGCCTCGAGTTTGCTCCCTGTGAAGGCACGACGACGCGCTCGCCGACGAGCGGGACGGCGGCGGCGAGGGGGAGGAGGAGGGGGAGGAGGAGGCGCTGGTGATGGCGGTCGATGCGGCGGGCCGCGAGTGGTCGGGGGCAGAGCCGTGTCTCGGACATGTCCTTGAGGCGTCTGTGACATGTCGCTGCAGGCGGGCCGCGAGTGGACGGTGTACGAGCGGGACGCGGAGGTGGAGCCGCACTGGGACCCTTCCCTGAACCTTCTCTGAACCTTCCTTAGGTGTACGAGCGGGACGCGGAGGTGGAGCCGCACGCGCGGCGGATCCGCTGCAGGTACGACTTCGCTGCAGGTACACCTAAGGAAGGTTCAGAGAAGGTTCAGGGAAGGGTCCGCTGCAGGTACGACTTCGTGGCGGCCTCGGGCGAGCGCGCGACCCAGGCGCGTCCCGCCCGCGACCGAGCAAGGGGAGGGGAGAGGGAGGGAGGCTCGCTTCGGGGCTTTCCTCTCGGGGGGGGGGCAGAGCGCAGTCGCCAGACACAGTGCGGCCAGCCTCGCCAGCGTGACGCCCAGGCACGCCGCGCCTCGGCCGCAGGTGAACGAGCACCACTACGCGCTGCCCGAGCAGCTGAGCGCGCTGCTGGCTGCCGCCGGCTTCGAGGTGGAGCGGCTCTGCGGCGGCTTCGAGGGCGAGGCGTTCGACGAGGAGGAGAGCGAGCACATGGTCTACCGCGCGAGACTCGTGAGGTGAGTGAGGAGTCGTGGATCGTCAGGGGGAGCGGGGGCGTGCCGGGTGCCGCGCCGAGGTGCGAGGTCTCGCCGGCGCAGGGCGCCGCACGGGAGATCCGAGGCCAAAGTCTCTCAGAAAGAGAGAGCTCACGCGCGGACCGTCACAACCCGCGGACGCTCTGGGGCCCGCCGGGATCAGCTCAGTCCAGGTCTTTAGGTCTAGGTCCTGTGTACTTTCGATCTACTGTTAAGGTCTGAGCTGAGCAGCAGCCGCAGCGCGCCCTGTAAGGCGGCTCAACCGACAGCGCGGTGCCACAACATCCCACACGCACGTGGAGGTCGTGCGACCGCTCGGTGGCGCGCGCGCTTGGTGGGGCGCCGGCGCCCCCGGCCCCCCGGGCCCCCCCGCCCACGGGCGGCGCACGGCCAGAGCAGCACCACCACCAGCAGCTGGCAGGCCAGCACCGCAGCAGCCACGCCAGCCAGACCCCACGGGCCACGCGATGAGAGTGTGAGGGAGAGGCGCAGTTTGTCTCTCGACTTTTTCCCCAAATACAAGACAAGCTCCGCCCCCACACACAAGACTGCGCAGAGCACCCAGGTCTTCACGGGCTCCGGCGCGCACTCGCATCATCGTGGTGCGCGCGAGGGGTCGGGGCAGGCAACGAGCCAGCCTAGAAGATGGCCGGGGGCGCGGCGCCGCCCAGGCCGCCGGTCGGGTAGAGCGCGTCGACGCCAAGGATCTCGTGCACGAGGCAGCCGGTGATGCCGAGCATCGCGGCGCGGCCGTTCTGGCGCTCGGCGTTCAGCTTGAAGGTCTTGGTCTCGGGGTCGTCGTACCGCACCCACGGGATGCCCGCGATGTCGCCCACCTCGCCGTCGTCCTCGTTGTTGTCCGGGTTGGAGGCGTAGCCGCCGGTCTGGCCCTTGGCCAGGCCGAGGCCGTAGCCCGTCTCCTGGAAGAGGCAGAAGAGCATGATCTGCAGCCAGCCGAAGGTGGGGACCGCCTCGAGCGAGCCGAAGCAGCTGGTCGGGATGTCGGAGAACTTGGTGCCCGACAGGGTGAGCGCGCCCGGGAGGACGACGCCCGCCTTGAGCGCGATGACGTGGAGGAAGCCGAGCATGGCGGCGCGGCCGTGCTTGACCTCCATGATCTGCGGGGCAGCGGGGCGGGCGGCGTGAGGTCGTGAGGCGGCGGAGGCGGCGGGCGGGACGCGGGCTGCGGGCCGGGCGGGGGCGGCGACGCGCGCGGGCGACGGTGGAGGCGCAGCGCGCGCGAGCCGACGCTCTGCGCGCGCGGCGGCGGCGCAGAGCGAGGGGCGGGGCGCGCCTCGTAGCGGCGCATGTCGCGCGTCTCGATGAGGCCGAGCGGGTCGTACACGCCGAGCGGCGGGAGGACGCCGATGTCGCCCTCAGAGAACATGGTGACGGCGGACGAGCGGGCCGGCGCGCGCATGGCGGGCGCGGAGAAGGCCTGGGCCGAGTCGAGGACAGCGAGGGCGACAGTGGAGATCATGATTGTTCTGCGTCGAGGGGCGGGGCGGAGCGTCAGGTGCGGCGGGGGGGTGAGGCGCGGTGTGCGGGCGGGGCGTGGGCGCAGCGAGACGAGCGGCCGGCTCACAAGAGCGAATGAGGGTGTAATTTGTGGAATCTGGATTATTCACAGGGAGCCGGGCATCCGCAGGAGAGACGCTCTTCGGTATGCGGTTCGGACCGTGCAAGCCCCACCCGGGTGGCGGGTGGACCAAGGGGCGTTCCGCCCTGCTTGCTCTAGGTGAAACGTCTGAAGGACGAAGAAGCACGAAGGTGCGACCAACTCAGCACGACGGGCGGAGAAGACGGGCACTAAACCAGGAAGGACTGGGAGAGTGTGAATGGAGGGACACGTGTGGTTCAGACGTCCCCCCCTCGACGTAGTCGAGTCACTCACATGGATAGAGAGGAGAGTGTCCCTCTCGACGGGGCATGGACTGGATGACATGCACTGGAGAGTCTATGGCTCTCGCGGGTGGAGATAGCTGCATCGAGATCACATATTATCGAGATCACTCGAGAGATATCAGTTATCACTCTCGAGACACGAGAGATCACGCAAAAGGTAAATCATGGTCCTACGTCGCTCAGAGGTAGAGGTAAAGGGCCCACGGCTGCCCAGAGGTAAAGGTAAGAGGGCCGCAGGCCCTCAGAGGTAGAGGTAACCTAGACCCCTCCTACCCGGCCCTCAGGGCCGATAGAGTATAGTCCGCAGTGTCTCATACCGAGAGTCACTCAGGGGCTTCTTTGGCACGGGGACTCCTTTTGCGCAGTCCCGTGCCCAGTGTCGTGCGAGGGAGTTTTGTTCTAAAATTCTTTTTCCCGACACGGAAGAAAGAAAGAAAACACGGACAACAAAAGGGAAAGATGGGAGGACGGCACGCCGCCACCACCGCAGGGATTTAGGATTTTAAGGAGAGGAGTGTGGTGCTAGCCGTCGCCCACCCTAACCCTTGGTCGTCTGCCTCTGCACGACATTAAAAATAAATAAATACAACGGACATCCCAAGCTAGGGCTGGGTCGAGGATAGACACCGTCCCCAACCTTTGCAGGATTTTGCAAAAGCGAGGGGGGAGGGCGCATCGCCGCGCGGAGAGGGCTGGGCACAGGGCACAGGGGATCTCTCTCGCATAGGATATGCACTCGGCGGCACGAGGGCAAGGCTGGGCGTCCTATGTTTGTGCTCCCCCCCGGACCCCTCGCTCTCGGGCACGTGCTCGATGTTCGACTGTTACCCGCCGCCCCGCCTCGGCGTGGCATTCGCGACCAACGGATATCCACCTCGAGAACCTCGAGAACACGCCGCACACACACACACACACACGCCCATCCTCATGGACCAGGGCCACCCACATCCGACGCCGGCCGCCAGGCTGCGCACTCTTCTCGACGACGCACGCGAGGCCTCGCGCTGCGAGGTCATGCCGGCCTGCCACGACGCGCTCTCTGCGCGGCTGATTGAGCGGGCCGGCTTCAGGGTTGCCTTCATGTCTGGCTTTGCCGTCTCCGCGAGCGGCCTGGCCCTGCCCGACGCCGGGCTCATCTCGTACGGCGAGCAGCTTTCCGTCGGACAGAACATCTGTGCGGCGATTGACACGCGGCGGCTTCTCGTCATTGGCGATGGCGACACCGGCTTCGGCGGCAGCGGCAACGTGCGCCGCACCATCGAGGGCTACGCAAAGGCCGGGTTCGCAGGCGTCTCCATCGAGGACCAGGTCTACCCGAAGCGCTGCGCGTACTCGGGCGGCGTGGCGGTCGTGCCGCGCGAGGAGGCCGTCGCCCGCGTGCGGTGCGCGATCGCCGCCAGAGACGAGATGAGGCGCCGCTCAGGGCTCGACCTCGTCCTCGTCGCGCGGACAGACTGCCGTCGCGCAGAGGAGGACCTGGACGAGGTCTTGTGGAGGTGCCGCGCGTTCGCGGCGCTCGGCGCTGACGTCGTCTACGCAGAGGGCCTCGCGCCGGACGAGCTGCGGCGGCTGTGCGTCTCGCTCGGCCCGACGGTGCACACGATGCTGGCACAGGTCGAGAGGCCGGGCGTCACCCTCATCTCGCAGACAGAGGCCGCCGCCCTCGGCTGCCGCCTCTCCCTCTTCGGGCTGACTGTCCTCAGCGCCGCCGTCTCGGCCATGACGCGCGCGCTCGAGGCGATGGCGAGCGGAGGCCACCCCTCGACCGGTGTGCTATGCGACTTTGGCGAGCTCAAGGCCCTGGTGGGCTTCGACGCGCTGGATGCCTGGGAGGAGGAGCACCAGGCCTGCCCCGCCGTGGGACAGGATGGTGCGGCAGAGTGAAACGCGGGAGACGAGAGTCGGTTGTGTCTTGTGGGACCTGCGGAGGCTGCGGTGTCCCACGAAACCTCACTATGGTCCTATATCGTCTCTATGGACTATGCGTCTGGGCGGCACGCTTTTTGCTGTGCCGTCCTGTGTGCGTATAAGACTGCGCGACAGCCGACACTCTCTATGGAGTCACTGTACGTAAACTCTTTAATGGCCTAAAGCCGTATCTGATTCTGTGTCATCTGTCACATTCCTCCACCACAGGCTAGTTCCATTCACTCTGACACGCTAATCTTGAAAACGTCCAACGGAGCTCCGTGTTGCTCCCAGCGCCCTCCCCCGCGCTTCCTGCGGCCATGGCCGATGATACTAGTATGAGAGGTCATCTGGCTACCGCGAGCGCGACTCAACTCGCCGACGTCGTCCGATGATTGTGCCTCAAAGTCAGCCTCCGGAGGCTATCGTGGGGTCGAGCCGGCAGTAGCCGTGACATGTGGTTCCACCACCCCTCGTATGCTTTGCCTCTGACCGCCACCGTTCCCAGGCTGCAAAATGGGATGGAAAGGAAGGCTCGGCGAGCGTATAGAAGCGTGCTCGACCTCGTCGTGGCAACCTGCACGGCAGCGCTGGTAGGCGCGATGAGCGTCGTGCCACCTGACCCGAGACGGGTCGCAGGCGTCGTACCGAGCGCGTCGAGACCGTGTCCTGATGTGATCTGCACGGGTGAGTCACGTCGGCGTCAAAGGAGCGACGTGCGACCTGTCAGAGCTTGATCTCCGATCTCAGCGGCGTCGAGTCGTCTCCGGCGCGCGACAAAGGTACATCCCCAGGACGCGCAGAGGCAGCTGCGACCCCGCCGAGTGGCCGGGGGCACTCCGCGCCACCTGCTGTGTGCCCCCGTCCGCTCTGCGGGGTCGCAGCTGCCTCTGGAAGGCACCGAGATGTACCTTTTTGCGCAAATGTGGTCAAATCAAGGTTTTGTAACGCGAGCTGTGCCACAGTGAAATGGAACTAGCCACAACACATGATAATAGGAAAATGAATGGAGAGCAGCTCCACCGTGTCACGACTCACGCGGAGTAGTCTGGAAGCGGAGGTTGACGGCCCTCCCGGGGACGGCGGATATCGCGCCCAGAACTCGCTCGAGCGACGCCGAGGCGAGGTCCACGTTGTTGACGGCGAGAAGCACGTCGCCCGGACGCACGCCCGCCCGCTCGGCGTTCGAGCCTTCGCCAACCTCCGCGACGCAGACCCCTTGGTCGCGCGCCCCCTCCTCGCCGACCGGCTCGATCACGAGCCCGAGCGGCTTCTGCACGCTGACCAGGCGCTGGCCGGCGCCGTCCGAGTACGTGAGGCCGGAGCTGAGCTGGCACGCCGCGCCGCCGCTGCGAGCGCGCGAGCTGCGAGCAGAGCGCGGCCTCGGCGGCAGCGGATCGGCCGAGAGAGCGTCCGACACGATGCGCAAGTGCGCGCGCAACGCCCTCGCCGCGCCCTCTCCCATGTCGCGCGGCACGCCCACGTTGAGGGAGAGGGCAGCCAGCGCCGCGGCGGCGTCCGCGGCGGCGGCGCTCCCGTGCGCGCTCCGCAGCGCGCGAGCCGCCGCCTCCGCCTCCGAGCGGACCTGAGACGTTCCGCCGCCCTGGCAGCGGAGCAGCAGCCACGCGGCGGAGCGGAGAGCGAACTCGACGGCATCGCCGCCAGCCCCTTCGGCCGCAGCACCGCCGCCGGCAGCGCAGTCGGGCAGCCATGCGCAACGCCGCGCAAACGCGGCGACAAGCCCCGGCTGCCCGGCCAGCCTGCCCGCCGCCTCGCGCCGCTCCTCCGCCGTCGCCGCCGCCGCCCACGCGTCGCACGCCTCGGCGGTGATGCCGTCGATGGCCGCCGCCGCCGCCGCGTCGACCCGCAGCGACGGGACTCCGTACCGCGGCGTCGCGCCCGCCTTCGGCGCAGCGCAAGTCTGTTCGAGGCTCTCGGCTGTGTCTCGGGTGCGTCTCGGCTGTGTCTCGCCTCGGCGTAGCGCAAGTTTGTTCGCGCGAGGGTTGTCGCGTCCGAGCGGAGGGCCGCAAAGGCGGCGTGACGGCGTGTGGCGTGCCGCAAGTACGCCGCCGCGCGGCCGAAAGGGACGCCTGCGCGCTCGAGCGCGTCCTCGCCGAAGAAGTACGGGACGGCCGCTTCGGTGCGCTCGAGGAAGGGGAGGAGCATCAGGTCTGCGACGCTCGGGCGGGGCCCGTCCAGCCACGGGCCGCCCTCGGCGAGCATGCCGTCCAGGTCGGCGAGCGCCGAAGCGAGGGGCTGCAGCGCGACGAGGGCCGAGCTCTGCGCGCCGGCGCACGCTTCGTACGACCGGCGGGCGACGCGCAGCCGCCCAAACACGGACGCCTCGCCCTCGCAAGCGCGCGCGCGCACGGCGTCGCTGCCCGCCGGGTAGCGCTCCGGGTACCTGCGGCGCAGCTCGTCGCAGATTCGCTCGACGGACTGCACCGCCGGCCCAAAGCCAGAGGCGGCCCGGAACTGTACTCCCGGCACCACCCCCTCTGGCCCGACCAAACGCGTGTATTCGGCGTCCTTTGTCTCGCCCTCGAGCATGTACCGCCGAAGAGGCACCGTCTTCACCTCATACGGCACCTCCATCTCCTCCAGCACCAGCCAGGTGATCTCGCAAAAGGGGCACCAGCCGGCGCTGTCGCGCCAGAAGATGACCTCAGGAGCGCCGCCGCCAAAGAGGCGCTGCCGGGCCTCAAAGAGGCGGTCGGCGGGCGGCCCGGCCGCCGCTCGGATCTGACTCCACGGCGGGAGCGCGAATGCGTGCCCGGGCCGGGCGGCCGCGAGGAAGGTCGCGCAGCGGGCAAGACGCATTTCCGGAGAAAGGAGTGCCTTCAGCGAGCGCGCGCAGCTCTGTGTCTTGATTTGCCAAACCTACGGCGCGGACTCTCTGCGACGGGACCGGCCCCAGCTTCGGCCTGTGAGTCGTGATTTCTTGTTGGTTTTCTAAAATCTCTAAACAGTAGAAAGAAAGACATGATTCGCGTGCGGAGGCGTGACATGCGCGCGAGACCGGCTTGCTGAGCGTGATAGGGGCCTTTGTAACGGCAACCTTTGTACGGCAATAACATTTCCCCTCGAAGCTCAGGAAAAGAAAAGGGGCGTGGCCCTCGGCCTCCGCGCAATCGCTGGCTGGCCGAGAGACTTTGCCGGCTGTGGTCGCGCACTTGCCTCACTCAGTCCCGTCCCCGATGCGGCTCGCGCCGCCGCACCAGCGGCTGATGCTGTGCTCGATGTCGATGGCTCGGTCGATGATGACTTCCGCGCCGTCCTCCCTCCCGCTCAAGGACCCGTCCCTCTTTGTCGGCCGCGGCTTCATAGGCGGCGAGTGGGTCGGTGCGGATGACGGCAGCACGGTCGACGTGACGGACCCGGCGTCGGGGCTCTGCCTCGGATCCATCCCCAACATGGGCGGCAGCGAGACGCGGCGTGCGGTCGAGGCCGCGGAGGCTGCGTTCGCTAGCTGGCGCTCCAAGACGGGCAAGGAGCGCGGCGCGGTGCTTCGCCGCTGGTTCGACCTGATCATGGCCAACCAGCAGGACCTGGCTGCGATCATGACGGCGGAGTGCGGCAAGCCCATGGCGGAGGCGGTGGGCGAGATAGCGTACGGCGCCTCGATCGTGGAGTGGTGCGCCGGAGACACGAGCCTCTCCCCACCCTCAGCCCTGACCCAAGCCCTAGGCGCCTCGTTTGTGGAGTGGTTCGCCGAGGAGGCGAAGCGCGTCTACGGCGACGTCGTCCCAAACACGACGCCGGGCACGCGCATCCTCGTCCTCAAGCAGCCGGTGGGCGTCGTGGGCGCAGTCACGCCGTGGTCCTCTGACCCTAACCCTAACCCTAACCCTAACCCCAGGTGGGCGTGGTGGGCGCATCGCCAGTACTACCCAAGGAATAATACGCCTGTCGCTCAATGTGCGGCCCCTCGCCATGGCGGCCTGCCCTGGCCCTTCCCCGACCCCTTTCTCGGAGCTCTTGCAGGTGCGCCCCCGCCCTCGCCGTCGGCTGCCCGGTCGTGGTCAAGCCGTCCGAGCTGACGCCCTTCTCCGCGAGCGCGCTGGCGCTGCTCGCGGAGCGAGCGGGGATGCCGAGCGGCGTGCTCAACCTGGTGCTCGGCGCGAAGGCGCAGGAGGTCGGCGACGAGCTCTGCTCCAACCCGACCGTAATTAATTACTTAATCAATTAATCAATTAATTAAGTAATTAATAGGTCGGCGACGAGCTCTGCTCCAACCCGACCGTGCGCAAGCTCGGCTTCACCGGCGCTCGACGCCGGCGGGCGAGAGCTCACGCCCGCGACGTGTCCCGGACGCGTCCCGGCATGTCCCGCAGGCTCGACGGCGGTGGGCAAGCAGCTGCTTCGCCAGTCGGCCGCCACCGTCAAGAAGGTGAGCATGGAGCTGGGCGGGCACGCGCCGCTCATCTACACGAATATCATTCTATTAGTAGATTACATTCTCTCATCTTGTATTAGGCACGCGCCGCTCATCGTCTTCGACGACGCCGACTTGGACGAGGCGGTCGCCGGGGCGATGGGCTCCAAGTTTCGAAACAGCGGCCAGACGCGCGCCGCTAGCGCCGACCTCTTCCCGCACGCCTACTCCAGCCTACTCCAAGAAGACGAGACGAGTGGCGTGCCGCTCGTGTAGGTGCGTCTGCGCCAACCGCATCCTCGTGCAGGCGCGCCCCGCCCCTCCTCGCCCCGACCCCGCCACCCCCCCGCCTCCTCCCGGCCTCCTCCTCCGCACGCCGCATCTGTCACGGTCCGCCCCTCCCGCCCCCTTCCTCGCCCCCTGCAAGGACGGAGTGTACGACGCCTTCGCCGCCAAGCTCGCCGCCAAGGTGAGCGAGATGAGGCAGGGGCCGGGCGACCAGCCAGGCGCGACCGTCGGCCCACTCCTCGAAGCTGGCTAAGGTACGCACTGCCATGATTCGTCACTGACGAGAGCAGGCGTGACCGTCGGCCCGCTCATCGACGGGCGCGAAGCCGCAGAGGGGGGGGCGCACGCGCAGGCCATGTCCACGACACGTCCGAGAGATGTGCACACAGGCGCGCGGTCGCAAAGGTGGAGGCGCACGTGCAGGACGCCCTCGCAAAGGGAGCGACCGCCTCGGTCGGCGGCGAGCGCGTCTCGTCCCTCGGCGACAACTTTTACGCGCCGACGGTGCTGACGGGCGCGACTGAGGAGACGCTCCTCTCGAGACGCTCCTCTCCCCGCGAGGAGAGAGCTCGGAGGAGCCGCCCCTGGGACTGTTTCGGGAGCGTCCTGTAGGAGATGCTCATCTTCCGCGAGGAAACCTTCGGGCCCGTGGCGCCGCTCTTCCGCTTCTCGGACGAGGCGGAGGCCGTCCGCATGGCCAACGACACTCCGTACGGCCTCGCGGCGTACCTCTTCTCCAACGACCTCGGCCGCGTCTGGCGCGTCTCCGAGGCGCTCGAGTACGGCATGGTCGGCGTCAACGCGGGCATCATCGCGACGGAGGCGGCGCCGTTCGGAGGCGTCAAGGAGAGCGGCCTGGGGCGCGAGGGCTCAAAGTACGGCGCCGACGAGTTTGTGGAGGCAAAGTACGTCTGCCTGGGCGGGATCGGCGCGCTGTGAATGACAGAACAATTCAAAGAACTTCTCGGCAAAAAGAAATAACAGCCCACGCCCGACTCGCGTGTCTGGCAGAAGTACAGCGACGGCGCTGGCGCTGGCCGCCACCACACCAGGGATCAAACACCAAGTTCAAGATGAGCTCCTCTGCCGCCGCCGACTCGGAGGGCCGCAAGCTCTTCCTTGGCGGCCTGCCCTTCGACGTCAACGAGGACGACCTGCGCACCGACATGTCCAAGTTTGGGGAGCTCGAGGACGTCCAGCTGCCCTTCGACGGCGGTAAGCACAAGGGCTTCGCCTTCATCACGTTTCGTGACCCGAAGGACTGCAAGGACGCCTCGGAGTCGCATCACCAGCGCCCCTACCGTGGCCGCGAGATCAGCGCCCGCGTGGTTGTCCCTCGCGGCGACCCGGCGCACCCTGACGGCGCACGAGGCGGCGGCGCGGGCGGCGAGAGGCCGGGCGACTGGACCTGCCCGGCCTGCGGCGCGAACGTCTTCGCCTCAAAGATGAACTGCTTCAAGTGCAACGAGCCAAAGCCCCGCGGCGGCGGAGGCGGAGGCGGAGGGTACGGCCGCGACCGCGGAGGATACCGCCGCGAGGACTCTCGCGACCGCGACTACCGCCGCCGCTCCCCGTCGCGCGACCGCTACCGCCGCGACGACTATGACGACCGCCGCCGCGGCGACCGGGACTACGACGACCGCGGGCGCGACCGGGACTACGACGATCGCGGGCGCGAGCACGACCGCGCTGCCTCCTCCCCCCCTCCCGCCCCTCCCAACCCCCCCCCCCCCTTCCTCCCACCCTTGGTCAGGCGCCGCGATGACTACGACGACCGCCGCCGCGACTACGACGATCGCGACCGCGGGGGGTACGACGACCGCCGCTAGCCGCACCGAGAGAAGGCGCGGCGGAAGAAGGCGCGGCGGAAGGAGGCGCGGGCGGAAGGAGGCGCGGAGAGAGCGGGACGAGCGCGGGCCCAGGATTCGAGAGGGGCAAAGGGCTGGCGGGTGTGCGCCCTCTCCGCCCCTCTCCGCGCCAAAACACGGGCGAGCGCCGCTGCATCTAGCGCGTGTGTAGGCGACGGGGCGATGGGCGATGGCGACGGGGTCGAGCGGGCGTGGCGTGGGCGTTCTTTTCGCGCGGGCGCCTTACCCGGTGCCGGTAGTCAAGCCAAGAGGACGGCTGGTCTTGGTGGGGAGAGGTCTAGGATTCTACCCGATTCCGAGCGCGGACCCGGGCTTGTCGGTGTGTGCGGTGGCCGAGGTCCGCGCAGCAGCTCGGACCGCCCTGACAGCCGCGTCGGCCATCCCGGTCACGCACCGCGCAAGCGCGCTCCTCCGGCTCCGCGTCTCAGATTTTGCCCCAGAAGCTCTCAGTGCGCTGGGAGGGTGGAGCCCGCGAAAAAAGGAGCCGAAGAAGCGAAGGGTCAAGGGAGCGCGGCGGGGGGCGCTGCTGCCACTCTACGCTAGCGAACACAACACTTGGAGTGCGATTAGTAGCCGCACGAAGTGCTGCATTGTTTTGTTCACGCCGCCTTTCTCTGAAAATGCGTTGGACTTGGTTGCATCAGCGAGGCTCACACACACACACATATACATGTCGACGCGCGTGGGCCGCCGCCGCCGCACTGCGAGCACCAAGTTCCAGCCCGCGGAGCTGCTGCTAGTGGCTCTTGCGACGGCCGCATCGGCTCGCCCCGCCGCAGTCAATGCAACTCACGTGGCCAGGATTGGCATCGGCGCGGTGGTTACACACGTCGGTCTGCAGCTCCCTCCACCATCCCTGCGCAGCAGCAGCCTCTCGCGCCCCTCCCTGACGACGACCACCTGCTGGAGAGAGAGGGGGGCGGGGGAGAGGCGGAGGGGAGGCTGGGAGAGGCGGCCTTGGGCAATGCCGAATGGTGGTGCTGACTGCTGAGCCGCGTGCCGCCCCGCCCCTGGCGGCACAGGTGGAAAGTCCCTGCAGGAGGGCTTCGTCCCGTTGGACCTCAACGTGGAAGCACATGTGCGCGCTGCCTCCCTGGCGACACTCACGCTCGTGCCTGCTGCCTCCGAGTATCGACCGTCCCTGTGCAGGTGGAGCTTGACTCTTTGGGCGCTGTGGTGGTGCACCCGCCTTCCGCGTGGTCCGACCCATCCATGCGCGTTTGTGGGCACATGCCCCATTGGAGAGGTTGGGTCCCGACCGATGCGCAGCTCCTCTCTCCTGACCGCGGTCTCACTTTGCCAAATTCAGAGCGGCTCCGAACAACCGAGTGGCTTGGGAACGGGCGGTTCCGAGTCCAGTCCCGCTTTCACTTCCGACCAAACATATCTTCGTACCCGTTCGAGCAAGAAACCTTCCGCTTTGAGCTCCAGACGCGCGCCGTGCTGACGCACCCGCAGACGGGAGAGGCGCTCGACGTAATGCTGTGCGAGATGCCCGAGTACACCACTCTGGCGCCCAACGTCGACTGGCCCGGGACGACCAACAACCGGCGTCTTAGCCTCGCGAGCACGGTCAGTCACACTTGCGAGGCCCCCTTTCAGCGGTCGCGCCGCGTGTGCGAGAAGCCGCTCCCCGATAGTTCAGCATGGGAGTGGGGGCCCTTTGCCGTGCCGGCAATCTTCCGATACGAAAGTCCGGACGACTGCCCCTGTTCGACTGTGCCCCAGTACAATCCGAGCAGTGGCCTCGATCTCGAGACGTGCGGCTGCTTGGGAGGAGTGCCTGCTGGCGGCACATTCCAGCTTTCTGTTATCGCCACCGCCTCTCGGGCGGGTGCCTTTCAGTCCGAGTGCTTTGCGCCGTTTCTCATCGTCCTCATATCGCACACCTCCTACGCGATCGCGCCGAACCACGCCCTCGACACTCGCTTCAACCTTCTCAACTCGGCGCTGATCGCGCTCGTCCTGTACCATGCGGCGATCAAGTAGCAATCGCCCTCGGCAGCGGAGTCCACTCACCTGGCGGCCTCTCACACGCGGTGGCTGAACGCAGGAACCGACGCAGTGTGAACACGGTCTCTGTCCTCACGGTGATGGACAAGTTCATGTTCCTCTCCTACACCACCGTCGCCGCCGCGTACGCCCTCACCTTTTGGATGCTGCGGCTGCAGGAAGCCTCTTGTGCCCTGATCTCCAGACTGGCACAGACTCTCAGCCTTGCACCGTGCCGCTCACAGGAGGGCGACAAGCAGAAGCGCCTGCAGCAGCGGCTGTACCTCGGGACCAAGAACACGGTCAGCGTGGCGTCCCTCTGCGTCTACATCGGCACGTGCCTCTATCTCGGCCTGCGGGATGCGAAGGTGATCTTCACCGTGTTTGTTGGCCTTGCAGCTCTGGTCGCGATGGGCGCCGTCGCAGACCACTTCGGCGTTGCGGAGCGCATCTGCATACTGCCCAACTTGCCCTCGGCGGCATCGATCCGCGGGAGTCGGCTAGCCGCCCTCTTGGCGAGAAGGAGCACCTCGAACAAAGCCGGCCAAGAGGACATTGGTGAACCCCTCGGCCTCAAACAGACCAACGGCGAGCGTTCGTTCGAGGCACAAGCGTCTCAGAACAAGGCGAGGGACAGTGCCTCCGGCGAGGTTCTCCGCAGCGTCTCGCGAATTCCGGCGACCGTCTCGACGGGTGGGGGTGTCGCAGCGCGAAGCACGATGCACTGAGGAGTATCCCTCGTGGGGGCGCGCCTCGGGGAAGCGGTGCCAAAAGAAAACCACCGTGCCACCCGGGGTTGATGTAGCGCGATTCGCGCGCTCGGGAAGTGCGCGCATGTGTGTGCGTGTGTGTGGTCCGTCTCTCTCTCTCTCTCTCTCTCTCTCTCTCTCTCTCTCTCTCTCTCTCTCTCTCTTCTCTCTCTCTCTCTCTCTGTGTGTGTGTGTGTGTGTGTGTGTGTGTGTGCGCGCGCGCGTGCGAGTGCGTCTGTGCGTGTGCGTGTGCGGTGTGTGTCATGTGTGCGTGCGTGCGTGGCGTGCCTTAGGTGTGTGTGCATCCTGTCGTTGCACGCATGCACTTGCTCGAAGCTCGACCTGAGGCGTTGGCGTGTTACACGTGTTTTTTTCGCGCGGGTCCCGGCCGGCGCCGGGTCGTGAGGCCTCGTGCGTGAACCTCGCCGCGCACCGCCGCAGAGCGTGACACACCGGGGACCGGGCCGAAGAGAGAGCTATCGCACAGTAAACGTACGCCACACACACGTCAACACGTCAGGGCGGATTTGAGATATGCAGAAGAGGGGGCATGGTATGATGGTATAAGGGGTAAGGGGTACTAAGGTAAACTTCTCCACACACAAGGTGGGGGGGCGTCCCTCGCAACTCCACGTCTAGACGAACAAGAGCCCCACGGCATTAAAAGTGCAAGGGCCGGTGCGCGTGGGTGAGGTGTGTGTGTGTGTGTGTGTGTGTGTGTGTGTGTGTGTGTGTGTGTGTGTGTGTGTGTGTGTGTGTGTGTGTGTGTGTGTGTGTGTGTGTGTGCGTGTGTGATCGTCGAGCGCGAGTTCCTCGAGCTGCCGCCGAGCGACGACCCGGCGGCACAAGCGGCGGCCGGGCGCAGGCGGCGGCGGTGGCGGCGCTCGCTCAGGCGGTCGCCCAGGCACAGGAGGAGCGGCGGCGCGCCGAGCTGGAGGCGCGGAAGCGCGACGCGAAGCAAAAGGTGGAGCCGCGAGCGGACGCGAGGGGCCGTGGCGCGCGCGGCGTCGGCTCACCCCGCGTGGGTCGTTCACTCTCAGGCGGACCGCGAGGCGATGAAGGCGGCCCCATGGCAACGGACCGCGCAGAGGTTTCGGTGCGATCCTCCCCCCCCAACCCCCCCCCCCTCCGAGGCCTCGCGGCGCGGGCAGGCGCGGGGGCCGGCCCAGGCTTCGGTCGCAAAGAAGCTGCCCACCGAGTCGGCCAGCAGCATGACGACTTGCTCCGATGGCGCCCCTCGCTCCGATGGCCCAACCCAACCCCCCCCCCCCCCCCCCCCAACACACACCCACTGACTCCCGCGACCACACCTCGATCTTCTTGGGCAGCAGCTGGTTCGACAGGTCCTCTCCGTGGCAGCCAGTCTCGCCCTTGCCGAACGTAAAGACGGAGCCATTGGCGGCGCGGGCGATGCTGTGGTCGTCCCCTGCCGACACAGCGACAACGCGCTGGCCAGCAAAGGCCTCGACCGCCTTCGGCAGCAGCTGGTCCTCTGCGTGTCGCCGTGGCCCAACTGGCCACAGCCTCCATTGCCCCAGCTCCAAACAGCGCCGTCGGCGGTGATGGCGAGATCGTGCGCGAATCCTGCCGACACAGTGACTACGCGCTGGCCCGCCAAGGCTTCGACCTTCTTGGGCTGCCACTGGTGCTGCACGTCGCTGTGTCCCAGATTGCCCAGCCCGCCACAGCCCCAGGACCAAATGGCGCCATTCGCGGTGAGAGCGAGGCTGAAGTATCGTGACGCCGCCACACACTAATCGCGCGCTCACCTCCGAGCGATGCGAGACGGGTCGGCGTCTTAACCTGCAGCACGCCCTCGCCGTGGCCGAGAAGGCTTGGAAGATCCTCCTCCTCGACCTCCTCGTCCTCAACTGCCGTGCCGCACGACGAGAGCCGCCCCTCGCCGTCGATGAAAACGCTGTGCCGACCGCCTGCTGCCGCCCTCGCCGGCGGGTTGGACTCGCGAAGCAGCACAGCAAAGCACAGCCACCGCACGGCGCAGGTCTCGTCCTCCGGCTGCGCCGGAGCTCGATGCCGCGCTCTTGCGCCCACAAGCGGATGCCCTCTTCCGCGAGCGAGGCGTGAAAGAGGAGCGAGACGGCCGCGAGGCGAGCGATGTCGGCGGGGCTGTGGCAGCGAGAGAGGGCGCGCAAGAGGAGCTCCCTGGGGAGGTCGAGGAGGCGGGCGGGCGGCGGCGTGTCTGTCGAGGGGGCGGCGGCGGCGATGGAGGCGAGGCGGCGCGAGCGGCGCCGCGGGGCAACGTCAGGAAGAATTGCGCCGCGGCGTACGCCGCGTCGCCTACCGCCTGCCTCGCGACGGAGAGACGCGGCGCGGCCAATCGTCCTCCACAGCTCCGCCGAGCCCCACTCGGGCCCCTCGTCAACCCACCAATCCACGCCCTCCACCGACCTGTCCGAATCGCTATCCGAACTCGGCTCGCCCTCGCCCTCACCCTCGCCTCGCGCCTCGCCGCTCCCATGTCCCATCCTGCGGCTGCGCCACCGCCCTGCGCCTCGCAGCAGCCAGGGAAAAACCGCCGCCGCATCCAAGCTCCCCGGCCCTGGATGTGAGGTTAATGACTGCACTCCAAGTGCTCCAAGTGCCCAAATAGGACCGCCGCAAGCGGCGTGGCGTGGAGCGGTTGAGCATCCCTCCGGGGCCCCCTCTGCGCCGAGGAAGGAGGCGTTGTTTGAGGCTAGGACGCCCTTTCAAATTCGGGTCCAGCCACTCGCACACCGTCCGCTGCGCTCCGACCCGAATTAGGTGTTGCTGGGCCTGCGCAAAAGGGGTCGGACAAAGGCGCGGCCCGCTGGGTGCGCTTCTTAGCTCACCTTATAGCTCCCCGGCCCTGGGCGTGCGGCAAATGACTGCACTCCAAGTGCTCCAAGGGCGCAGCTAAGAGCCAGAAGGTTTGAGACGATCGAGAGGTCCCGTACCTTGTGGAATCGACACCCTATCCCAGTGCAACAGCTTGTCGTAGAGAACACCAAAGCCGTGTCCCGTTAATTGCATACACCCCACAACACACCACACAAAAGTGCCTCCTCTGTGTGCCAGTGTGCCAGCCCGTTCCTTTTCCATTTCAGATCGGATCATCGCGACGATCGTGCCAGTCGCGCTCGCGCTCGTCGTCTCGCTCGGCTCGCCGATGCTCGTGTCGCGCCCGTCGCGGCTCGTGGGGTCCCTCCATCGCCCGCGTGTTCGTCGCGGAGGGTCGCGCTGATGCTCGCGACGCACGGGCACGCCCCAGCGACGCTCCTCGCCGATCATGTGCAACCTTGGCAAGCCAACGACCGCTGTCCTAAGAAAACTCTAATGGTTAGATAGAGAGAACGAAGATGTGTCATGTGTGCGTCGTTTTTGCATTCTGACCGATTCTGCTTTAGACATTAGAGATCGAGAATCTGGCTTCTGCGTTCTGGCTTTCTGGGGCTCGGACCTCGGTCGTTTTATGAACCAAATATGAACGTTTGAGAGGGTAAAATATAAAGAAAACCGCGCTTAAAGACACAACCGCGGTTCCACTCTCGCAACCCCCTTGCCGAGTGCCCCGGAGATGACGCCCGCCTTCTGGCCGCTCGTCCGAGGCGCGCGCGCGCGCTCGGGAAGGAGGCGCGCCTAGCGATCCCGCGAGCTCCTCTCGCCCGTCCGCCTCTGCTTAGATCTCTGCCCCGGCTTGCCTGCATGCTAGATCTGAGCGTATGGGGGGCAGCCGCCCTCTCCCCTCAGTCGAGGTCCTCGCGATGAATCATCTCAGGCGCGTGCACGGGGTCAGGGGCAGGCGCTGCGGCGCCCGGCTCTGGTGGCGGCGGGGGCGTGGCGGGCGAGCCGGGCTGCTGCGTTCCGGGAGCGTCGCTGGCGGGCGCGTCCTCGCTGAATGGCACTCCCGCGACACAGAGCGGGCAGATCCAATCTCCGTCGGGCAGATCGGACTTGCGGATCGCGAGGCACTCGAAGTGGAAGGTGCGCGGGCACGAGTCGCAGCAGAGCAGCTCGCCTACAGGAAGCCTCCCGGAAGGCTCCAGCGAGGGCAGCAGCGAGGCGAGGCGGCAGCAGGTCTTAGCAGAGGAGGCTCGCCAAACTCCTTGCAGTAGAAGCAAGTGTCTTCGTCGTCGCTGTCGGCGCCCTCCTCCTTCCCCGCCGACGCCTCGGACCCCGAACCGGACCCCTCCGACTCCGACTCGTCGAGGTCGTCCTCCTCGTCCGACGACACCTCACGCTTCCGCTTCGCGCCCCCCCGCGCCCGGCCGCGCCCGCCGCGCCTCCCTCCGCCGCGCCCGCCGCCCCGCCCGCGCCCGCGCCCGCCGCGCGCCGACTCCACGCGCGGCGCCGATGCGCCCGGGTCGGCCCTACCCGCAGCCGCGCCGGCGGAGGTGGCGGGGCTGCCGCTCGAGCCAGCTGGCCAGCCGGCCGCCGGCCGAGAGGAGGGCGGCGCAGGCTGGGGTGGAGGCGCGAGGCCGGCGACCGCAGCCTGGAAGACGCCCTTGCACGAGGGGCACTGCACGCGGTAGCTGAGCGAGTGCGAGCCTGCGGCGGGGGTCAGAGGGGCGAGGGGTGAGGGGCGAGGGGCGAGGGGCGAGGGGTCGGAGGGCGCGGCTCGCGTGCGCGGGGAGGGTGCGGTCCACGGCCAGCGTGTCGGGGCGCGCTGCTCACCATAGTGCGTGCGCAGCTTGACCTGCAGGCTGGCGTGGCAGTGGCCGCACTGGACCCGGTACGGCGCCGGCGGCGGAGCGGCAACCTGCGGCGGCGGGACGTACGGCGGCGGCGGCTGCGGGGCGGACGGGCCGGCGCCGCTCCCTGCGGCGCCGCGCTTGGCGGCCGCCGCGGCCGACGCCGCGGCCGACGCGGCGGATCTGGCGGCGGCCGCCGCGGCAAGGCGGGCAGCTTGCGCCAGCTCCGCCGCCGACGCGGCGGCCTTTGGCTTTCCTCTCGACTGCCCCCACGAGGCGGGGAAGGGCGGCACGGCGCTCCAGTAGTTCCCTGCGCCCTTGGGCGCGACCTGCGGGCCCGCAAAGCCGGCGCACATCGCCTGCGTGAGCCGCAGGTCGTACAGCCGCCGCTGCTCCGGGTTGGTTAGCGTCTCGAGGGCGGCGTTGATCTGGTTGAAGGCGTCTGTGGCGCCGGCCTCAGACGTCTTGTCCGGGTGCAGCTTGACTGCCAGCTTGCGGTACGCTTTCCGGATGGTGACCTCGTCGGCGGAGGTTGCGACACCGAGCATCTCGTAGTGGCTGTTCGAGCGCTGCACCTGCGCGAGGGCCTCGCTCGGCGGAGGCGCCGCAGCGCTGCTCGCCGCCGCGCCGGCGCAGCCGTTGGGGCGGCCCTGTGCACCGTCCGCCGCCGCCGCGGGTGCCGCCGCCGCCGCCGGCGCCGCCGACGCTCCCTGCGGAGCCGCCGCGGGTGCCGAGCCGCCGGCCAGGCGCTCCAGGAAGGCCTTCGCGTCGCTCGTGGGGAAGAGCCGCTGCGACTTGGCGGCGAGGCGCTCGGCCGATGCCGTGTCACCGCTCCGCTCGGCCGTCACGGCCGCCGCCAGCGCCTGCGCCGCAGACTCCCGGTTCGCCTCCATCAGCTCCCTCGTGAGCCAGCATCCCCATCGAAAAAAAAGAAACACTGATCAACGAGTTCGCGCTGCGCTAGGCTCAGACGGCGTGTTCGCGCTGCGCTAGGCTCAGTACGGCGAGTTCGCGCTCTGCACCGCTACTCCGTACTGGCTAAGCGTCCGTCGCCCTTTTCAAACTCGGGGCCCACTCCGCTACGTACGGCCTACGCTCCGACCCGAATTTGGAGGGCCTGAAAAGTTTAAGGTGTTGCTGCGCAAAAGGGTGGGGAGCCGCGGCGGCGCTGCAGAGTATCTGCGTCTGCGCTGGTAGAGCCCTTTTGCGCGGTATTAACGCACACACCGCGACAGCCCCGCAAGGCGCGCGATACACACAGCTAGAAGTCAGTCACCGTCCTCAGGCGGGGGGTCACAGAACACCGAGTCCATAAAGCTAAGCTCCTCGCCTTCAGGCTCAGCAAGCTGCATCGACACCGGCCCATCAGCGGTTAGAGGGGGGAGATCTAGAGGATCATCTGAGCTGGAGCTAGCGGCGGCGGCCGAGCTAGCGGCGGCGGCCGGGGTGCGAACCGGCGGCATCACTGATTCAGGCTTGAACCCGGGCTGCTGGTAGGGCAGAGTGATGCCGTTGGCAGCGGCGCGCTCCTCAGCCCAAGACAGGAGCTCTTCAAAGCGGTTGACTCGGGGCAGTAGGGCAGCTATGGGCACATGATCATAACACCCAAAAAGGGCAGTGCCTTCGTCTGGGCGCCTGAAGATGGAAAAAAGGAGCCAGTCGGGTTGCTAGCGTGCACATCTGGTAGCTGTGTGTAGCCGGCGACAACACGCGGCGGTGGCGGCAGCGGCGGTGGCGTTGGCAGCGGCGATGGTGGAGGCACAGGACCGCACTCCCTGTCCCACCGCCATCCAGTGCCATTTCTCTCTCTCAAGCTCTCAAAATAAAAAATGTTTGTCAGATAACATCGAAGGCAAAAAATACGAACCGTGTCCAGCACTGCCACAATGACGCCGCAATGACAGGGGCGCCGCAGCAGTAGAGAGCAGTGCACCATACAATGGGATGCGAGTTAATGCGCGGTTGGGGGGGCCTGAAAAGGGGAGCTCCCTCTCTCCCCACCCCGAGAACCTCTGCCCAAGCTGATGGTGCCCAGCCCAGAAGGCCTCAGGGGCTGTAGAGTCACACCTAGGAGAGGGGGTAGCTCACACCTTGTGGGCCGCACTGACCCTTCTCCCACGTGCCCTTGCCCGACCCTCTGACCGCCTCCCGAGACGCCCGACTTTGAGGGGCTGGTGAGAGCCCCCACCGTTGCGCCCTCACCTCACGCTGACATATCCTTTGGGAATGCCCATGGGCTCTAGGGACCTGGGGGCAGCTTTGCCCGCGGGCGCCATGCTGGGCTTTGGTAGCCATTCTCTCCGATTCTCCGGAGAGGCCGGAAAAGTGGCTAAGGCGGCCTCCGCTCAAGGATCGTTGGGATTTTCTGGTGACTCAGGAAGCTAAGGTCTGCGCCGAATAAAAATCGGTTCCGTGCTGCCCGCCCCCGGATACACCTGGCACAATTTATTAGAAGTTGAGCCGCGCACTTCCGGCCGAGAATAAAATCCCTCTGGTCTCTCAGCCCACTTGCCCATAGCCGCCGAGACGGCGCGCTCTGCTGACTCTCATCTAGCGCCCTCTTGGGGCCTCTCCTGGCCGCTGTGGGCCTCTACAGACCTCCTCTTGCCTTTGGGAGTACCCCTCCCAGTCTACTTCCTAGGACACAGGCACAGGTTTGCCTAATGCGAGCTTTTTCTCAAGGGCTATAGTGCAGAGAAGAACTGCGCATTAACTCGCATCGCATTGTACCGTTTTTATGGCGACTCTAGCACTCAAAATAAAAAATACCGCACACTGCCACAATGACGCCAAACCGTGTCCTTCTGCTGGCCATCGCCTTCTGGGCCAGCGGCGCGCTTGTCACGCTCAGCCTCAGCCTGAACGGGCTCCTCGCCAAGGCCGCAGCGCCGCGCTTCCACGCCGACGCCTCGCGCGCGCCATGGCTTCGGTTCGCGTGCTTCGGCGGCGGCGTGGCGCTGGGCGTGTCGCAGGCGGCGCTGATATTTGTGCCGCTGGCCGCCAGCGAGGCGCGGCGGATCCTCGGCCTGTCGGTGCGCGCGCGTGCGGTCGACTTTTTCCCCCGCTGCAAGCTGCTCGGCGTGCTCGCCGTCGCGCTCAGTTGCGCTCTCGTGGACCGGCTCACGCAAGCGTACTACGCGTCTGTCCTCGTCTTCGTCGCGCTGCTCGCCGCCGTCGGCGTCTCTCTCGCAGCCGGCGCGGCGCGCCTCTCCCTCGGCCTCTGCCTGAGCGGCGACCACCGCGCCGCTCTCCTCAAGCGGGTGAGGGTGGCGCTGCCGCCGCTGCTCGAGGAGGAGGGCGAGCAGCGGGCGTCGGACCTCGCCGCGGGCGTGTCGCCCGCCGCGGACGCGTCCTCGCCCGCCGCGGACGCGTCGCCCGCCGCCGCGGCCGCACCGCCCGCCGCGGCCGCGTCTCCCGCCGCAGCTTGGCCCGCCTCCTCTCGCGAGCTTGGGCCGGGGACGAGAGACTGGCTGCGCGACGAGGGAGGGGGCGACGCCGACCCCGCGCCGGCAGTCTGGCCGGCCTCTGCGCGGGACCTGAGCAGCACGACACGGTCTTGGCTGAGAGACGACGGGGGCGCTGCCGCGCCGCAGGGCGAGACAGAGCAGGGGGATGACGCCGGCGTCTGAGGATCTGGGCTCGGCTTCGGTTTCTTTGTCGCCCTTTTCTCATGTCATTTCTTCTGTTCTCCTTTGCTTTATTTTCAGAAAGAAATGCGGTAGGTAGACAATTACTCGATAGCGGTCCCGCCATAGCTCCCGAGTAGGAGCAAGAGGCCAGGCAGGGGCCGCATCGGAGCGAAGCGGAGTGCAATATACGCAGTGTGCAATCTTTACCGGTATGGGAGTTTTTGGCTAATCAAACCCAAGGCCTGCACTAATCAAAAAGTGGTACGGGATACCAGTTGCCTCACGGAAATCAAAGCGAGTCGGAGTGCCTTCTTGGTGGCAAAATCGGCAAAATCGGCAAAATACCGGGTATTTTGCGGGTATACCTGGAAAAACCCGGGTATACCCGGGTAATACCCGCACTTTTGTATGATTTTGCCCCCGGGACCACACCGACAGCCGCTACAACTGCTGAAAACCCCGCATACCACTTTCGCATACCACTATACCATACCACTCCAAAACTAATCAAAATATCGCCAAATACCAGTCTCATACCGGTAAAGATTGCACACTGAATATACGTTTTACCCTTGTTACCCAAAACCGAAAACGGAACACGAATCTCCAAACCAAAAAGGGATGAAATCCCTTGTGGATATAATCGCCCAAAAATAAAATATTCTTAGCTTCAAGCCCCCCTCCGAGACTAGGGACAGAACCCACCCGTACACAGGAGAGATGGGACTGCGCCTCGCCCCCACTTGCCCTGACTGCACAGGATAGCGTGCCCCGATAACGGCGACACATAGTGGGGGACACTGCGCAAGGAGGGGGTGCGAAAGCTCATTGGGGTGCTAGGTGGGACCATGAGGGGGGGTGGGCGGGGTCCTGTGGGGGTGAAATGTTGCGCGGCGAATTCGAACCTACCCCCTCGCCGCGCCGATCCTCACGCGGAGGGTAAAACCCTGTGGGAGAAAACCCCCCCGCGGTCTGCTTCATGCCACCTCGCGGTCGTCCCACTCTCTCTCGTCGTTCTCTCTCCTGTCGCTTCCTCCTCTGTCGCGTCGCCCTCCTCTGCCTCGTCCTGCGACGCCGCCGCCGCCTGCCGCTCCCTTGCTCTCGCGGCTTCTTTCGCCTTTCGTCGCAGCTCTGCCCTCCTCCCGGCATATTTTGGCCCCTCGAGTTTATCGAGCTCTCCTCGCGCAAGGACGACTCTTCTGACGCCCACTGCGATCATTTGCCGCCAGGTCATATCGTTGCTCAGGTCCGCGCTCTCTTCGAACACTTGTACCTCCACGGATGATGCTGGCGCTGGGTTCCCCTTCGGGTGCCGATCCCCTGGGTTCCGGCTCGCGGTAATGTATGTTGCAGCCCAGATAGCTTATCGTGCCGCAGAATAGGAAGAAGAGATCTCTCGGCTACGGGACCGGCCCCAGCTTCGGCTGAGGGCTGACAAGCTGCCGAGCCCAAATCACTGTGAGAGTCGTGATTTCTTGTTGGTTTTCAAAAATCTTTGTTTGTCGGACTCTTCATACACCCCGGTGCGAGTTAATGCGCATTTCTTCTCTGCACTGTAGCCCTTGAGAAAAAGCTCGCATTATGCAAACCTGTGCCTGTGTCCTAGGAGGTAGACCGAGAGGGGTACTCCCATAGGCAAGAGGAGGTCTGGAGAGGCCCACAGCGGTCAGGAGAGGCCCCAAGAGGGTGGTAGATGAGAGTCAGCAGAGCGCGCCGTCTCGGCGGCTATGGGCAAGTGGGCTGAGAGATGAAAGCCCCGACTTCTAATAAATTGTGCCAGGCGTAGGCCGTAGCCGGGGGCGGACAGCACCCCTCCGTCCTGAGTCACCAGAAAATCCCAACGATCCTTGAGCGGAGGCCGCCTGGGCCACTTTTGCGGCCTCTCCGGAGAATCTGGGAGAATGGCTACCATAGCCTAGCATGGCACCCGCGGGCAAAGCTGCCCCCAGGTCCCTAGAGTTCATAGGCATTCCCAAAGGATATGTCAGCGTGAGGTGAGGGAGCAACGGTGGGGGCTCTCACCAGCCCCTCAAAGTTGGGCCTCTCGGGGAGAAGGGTCAGTGCGGCCCACAAGGTGTGAGCTACCCCCTCTCCTAGGTGTGACTCTACAGCCCCGGAGGCCCTCTGGGCTGGGCACCATCAGCTTGGGCAGGGTCCTCGGGGTGACGACGGGTATCTTCCTTTGAGCGAAAGAAAGTCGATTGCGTCGGCGCGACGGCAGCGATCACCTCTGCACGACCCCGCGTCTTCGCTGGTGGGATGTCCTGGCGGGCCCTCGCCGATTCATATGAGGGGCATGAACCCGGGTTCATTACCGTGGGTATGTTTCCCATGCCGCCTCCGCCCCCAGGGCAAGTCGTCATCCGGCCGTGGGAGCAGAACCAGACCTTTGTCGGCTTCTTCCCTGGGCCGGCGGCGTCGATCTTTGACCTGCTCTTCATGTTCGTGCTCATGTTCATTATGTGGCTCTACTTTTCCTGCCGGATGCACCCGTGCTCCAGCGTCATGTCTGGCATCACCATGATGTTCGTCCAGTCTCTCCTTCTTGTTGGCGCGTGGGTGACGGGGCCCTACGCTGGGACGGGGATCGAGTGGCCAAAGGGGCCCATCTTTTGCGTCTTCGTCTCGGGCCCCAGCTGCTGGGACATGGACTGGCTCCAGTGGATCCTCTTCATCGTCCTCCTCCTCTGCAATGCTGCAGGCGCCGCCGCACTCCGCCTGCGCCGCCCGCACCTGTACCTGTCCCTGTCCCTGTCCTGCCTCCTCCACCCGCACCGCACCGGGCCCGCAGGCACGATCTCGGCGGTCCCCGCCGCCGGCGCCCTCGTGAAGCGCATCTTCGACCCCGCGCTCTCCTCGTGGTCCTCGGACGAATGGCTCGAGGACCCACGCCGCGCGCCCACCCTCACAATCCTGGTGCCTTGCTACATGCCCAACGAGCAGCAGCTGATCCGGCGACGCGCCGCCGCCGAGGAGGGCGCAGCCCCCACCCGTCCGCAACGGCGGGCTGTGCCTTCGGCGCCTGTAGGCAGACGCTCGACCACATCCTGACCAAGCTGCGCTACCCGAAGCCGTTCCGGCTGGTGGTCTGCTACAACACTCCAAAGCCTCTCCCGATCGAAGACGAGCTGGCGACGCTAGACGGCGACAGAGCAGCCGAGACGCGGCCGAGATGCAGCCGAGGCAGAGACGCGGCCGAGGCTCTACCCCAGCCCTACCCCTACCCCTACGCCCTACCCCTACGCCCTACCCCTACGCCCTACCCCTACCCCTACCCCTACCCCTACCCCTACGCCCTACGCCCTACCCCTACCCCTACCCCTACCCCTACCCCTACCCCTACGCCCTACGCCCTACGCCCTACGCCCTACCCCTACCCCTACCCCTACCCCTACCCCTACCCCTACCCCTACCCCTACCCCTACCCCGACCCCTAACCCTACCCCTACCCCTAACCCTACCCCTACCCCTACCCCGACCCCTAACCCTACCCCTAACCTCCGCAGGCTCGCTCTACCCCAACCCGTCCGGAACCGGCGAGCAAGACCCTCGCCACCGCCCGGTAGCCAGCCGGTAGCCAGCCGGTAGCCAGCAGTCACTCGGTGGCGAGTACGAGTGCAGGCGAGCACGAGCTCGTCATCTCCCCATATCTCCCCCCATATCTCCACGCGAGTGCAGGCGAGCACGAGCTCGTCATCTCCCCATATCTCCCCCCATATCTCCACGCGAGTGCAGGCGAGCACGAGCTCGTCATCTCCCCATATCTCCCCCCATATCTCCACGCGAGGGCAGGCGAGCACGAGCTCGTCATCTCCCCATATCTCCCCCCATATCTCGGCGCGAGTGCAGGCGAGCACGAGCTCGTCATCTCCCCATATCTCCCCCCATATCTCCACGCGAGTGCAGGCGAGCACGAGCTCGTCATCTCCCCATATCTCCCCCCATATCTCGGCGCGAGTGCAGGCGAGCACGAGCTCGTCATCTCCCCATATCTCCCCCCATATCTCGGCGCGAGTGCAGGCGAGCACGAGCTCGTCATCTCCCCATATCTCCCCCCATATCTCCACGCGAGTGCAGGCGAGCACGAGCTCGTCATCTCCCCATATCTCCCCCCATATCTCCACGCGAGTGCAGGCGAGCACGAGCTCGTCATCTCCCCATATCTCCCCCCCTATCTCCACGCGAGTGCAGGCGAGCACGAGCTCGTCATCTCCCCATATCTCCCCCCATATCTCCACGCGAGTGCAGGCGAGCACGAGCTCGTCATCTCCCCATATCTCCCCCCATATCTCCACGCGAGTGCAGGCGAGCACGAGCTCGTCATCTCCCCATATCTCCCCCCATATCTCCACGCGAGTGCAGGCGAGCACGAGCTCGTCATCTCCCCATATCTCCCCCCCTATCTCCACGCGAGTGCAGGCGAGCACGAGCTCGTCATCTCCCCATATCTCCCCCCATATCTCGGCGCGAGTGCAGGCGAGCACGAGCTCGTCATCTCCCCATATCTCCCCCCATATCTCCACGCGAGTGCAGGCGAGCACGAGCTTGTCATCATGCGCGTGGAGCACTCGACTTCAAAGGCGCACAACCTCAACGCTGCGATGAAGGACGTACGCTCGCACCAACCCCTCCTCCCCCGGCAACCCTCCCCCCGCACCACGCAACCCTCCTCCACACGCACCCCTCCTCCCGCACCACGCAACCCTCCTCCACACGCACCCTCCTCCCCCGCCACCCTCCTCCCCCGCCACCCTCCTCCCCCGCAACCCTCCCCCCGCACCCTCCTCCCCCCCGCCAGGTCACCTCGGAGAACGTCGTCATCTACGACGCCGACCACCACCCCGACCCGGGCGAGACCTAGCCGAGACCTAGCCGAGACCTAGCTTACCACCACCCCGACCTGGCCACACCTCCCTCGCGCACTCTCCCGCCAGCCTCGCCCTCACCTCAGCCGACGGGAGCTGCTTTAGGGCCGCTGCTCACCTCCTTCTAGGAACCTTCTAGGAACCTTCTAGGAACCTTCTAGGAACCTTCTAGGAACCTTCTCGGAACCTTCTGCTTTAGGGTCGCTGCTCACGCTCACGTCGTTCATGCAGGAGCCCTCGCCCCCTCCCGCACACCTCGCCCCCTCCCGCACACACGCCCGCGGGCCAGTCCCTCCCGCACACACGCCCGCGGGCCAGTCCCTCGCGCCACTGCTCGCGCCGCCACTGCTCGCGCCGCCCCCCACGCCGCCCCCCACGCCACCCCTCGCGCCACCGCAGGTTCACAACTGCTCGGG